CTCTGGGCGTCATACCATTATCTTATTGATTACTCCTCCCTTTGTGAAAGAACATTTGCGATTCACGTTCTGTCAGTTTCGCGATCAAGGGACATTATTAACACGTTCGCATATTTGTGGCACGTCGATTTTCGTCACAGACCAACGTCGCATACTTGCAACAACAGTACTCTGTTTTATGTCTCGGTAAATAAATGAAATGTAAATAGACCATATTTGCCATTTTGTACTATAAATTAAAATTATTAGCGCATGTATTCAAAAGGATGAATTTGGTTTGCAATAAGGTGAATATGATCTGCAAAAGAGTTCATTTATATTATTAAATATATTACTGTGAATTAGATTGTTGTTACTACAATAAGGAAAGATATAAGATGTGAAAAATATCTAAGAATAAAATTATTAAGGTAGTAGCGAACGTTTTGAAGACAACGCTATCTTGTATAGAGTTTGTACACGTTCTTACAGGATAACTGTGTGTAACGTACAGAGAAATTTCATTAAAATTTACGATTCGGGTATCATGTGCGAGGAAAGTATACACAGTATTTGTACGCAAAGGTACGCTACCACTTTTAATTGTCGGAATCATAGGCTTTACGCAGTCATTTTAGCGCTCAAAATCGTGCAAGCATAATCAGTGCTGTGTGATAGCCACGTCACCGAAGATTAAACTACCGATCCAGGGATTCTCAATCAAATTGTCAGCTTTTTGCTTCGAGTTGACCCTGCCTTTCAATCGTCGACAGCCACAATGAAATTGTTCGAACCTTAAAAGCCATTTCTCTCTTTTCGAGGGCCATCGGAGGCACCAAGATTCCCGGTTAATTCAGAATTCTCGAATGAATCGATGCGAATCAGAGAGTGACTCGTGTCACCGTTTGATCGTTATCATGTTAATTAAAAACGCCGATGTGTGATACTAGCGAATATCGACAAATAAACTAGACATGTGTTATTCGCGATCGGAGCTGCTCAGCCTGTTCGCTCGTCGGTTACGTAACACAGTCGCCTTGCAAAATGAACGACGCATACAGGAAGCTATGCGTTCGACCGGTTGGGCATCTCTGCGCCAAGCACGCGCTTGCAAACGCGTAAAAATACCTGCTCTTGACAATGAACAAAGACCACCACTGGCGTCGACAAATGAAACTAGTTTCCTCTATAAAAAGAAAGATGACTCAAATTCAGATAAAAGGAAGATTATCTTTTCGAATTAAGACTTATAACCATAGCATAATTCCAGTTTTAATCTATAAGTATCTAGATAAGAAACTGATTTATTCTTTTGAGCGCTAGTTCGCTAATTATAAGGTGAAATCACGAAAAACGACAAAATGACATTGTATCGTTTCGCTTAATTACTCACAAGATGGATTTAATTTGCAATAGGGCGAATATGATCTACAAACAAATTAATTTGAAGTGCAAAACCTGTAAAGATCATGGTATGATAAAATTACTGAAAGTATTGAAGCAGTAAAGTTTTTTTCATACACGACGAGTGGTTTGAAAGAAGAGGAACAAGGACGGGGACTCTTAAACATCGGATATAGTTTTAGAGAACGGTCGAGGAATCCGACAAAAAATGTCTGAGGCATGAATTCCTAGAGGCAGAGAAATAATAGAATTAGGAGGAGGAATACTCGAGGAGGAAAAAGTCGAAACGCAAGATAAGCGGTTATAAAATCGGTGGAAAGAAAAAATGTGGGGCGTGAGAGGTCTTGTGCTGACGCCGACTTAACTATTGGGGGGAAAAAAGAGGAACATAATCTGAAATCACGGCTACGTGGCAGGTGGCTGATCAGAGCAACGAGTTTTTGTTTCTATTATTTTTACATAAAGGCAGTACATAATTTACAGAATGAATACCGAAGTTTTCGACTCATTCCAGTCCGATTTTCTTCTAAGTAATAATGGAAGTTCAATATACAGCAATGTATTTATTATAACGAGGTACATTACAGCAATATAGACACAATTCATCACGCTTTTTGTCAAATATAATTGCTGTTCTACAATGTTTGTTTGAATAATACATTGGATTGTTGTATCATAATATGATAGACACTGTGGACAGTTACTAGTTTCCTGAGTCTATACATGCGAACCCAATCGACGGATCTTGCTATCATGACGACACTTTTAAGACAGGATGCAGTTTCATTAACATCATCGGCACCTTTGCGTTTTTAATTTAAGGTAATGATTCATCTCGGGGCTTAGCAAAAGCATTGTTCGTCTGAGGTCACGTTTGTTTAGTGTTAGACGCGTATCCACAGCAACAAATATCATTTATATTAAAGTATTAAATAATTACAAAATGTAATATGGAATTCTGATGAATCATTACAATTATAAGTAATTGTATTGGTCGGGATTATTTTGTAAGGGTTGCAAAATGTAATCTGGAACCGCGATTAACGATTACAATTGTAATTGCACTTATATAGTCTCTCATGGTAGTATTTGACAATTATAATAGCGATCGGTAACCGGACCACTAACATTTACGAAACATAATGTGGAATTGCATTAATCAGATTACATTTTACCCAACTCTTGCAGATAGACAGCACGCGTAGGAGGGAGCCGAAGAAGACACAGTCTCTTTTTGTAGAAGCGAACCGATTCAGTCTCGTCGTGTCTTTCGCGCGCAGAACACAGGTCGTGGTGTCGCGTTCTCGTCCGTCGACTCACATCCAACACGTGCGTGACGACGCACATACCGTTCCGCGTTATTTAAGAACATCTGCTGACCCGTTTTTTTTCTGCTCTTTCTTCTTCTCCAGTATTCCACTCACGCTGTCGCCGTCAAGCATGCTAATTTCCGCGAGCACGTGACGCTTCTTCCTGGAGAAAGAATTCACGCCATCCGCATCTTCGAGTTACCGTTATACGTTGGACTATTTTTATTTCTTCCTTTTCGATTAAAGGAATTCGAAGAGCGAATCTAGTGTTACGTTATGGTACGTTCTCGTTAGATCGCTTTTCGCGCCAAAGCTAACAACCTTCGTTGCATTGTATTCTCATTTCGCCGATTGCAAGCGACCTGTTATTTTCGTCCACGCGTTCAATCATAGTACCATTTATTTTTTAAGCTACTCATCATGATTAAAACATTACGATTCAGACCGTAATGTTTCGCTTACGATTGACTGGGTCATACGGTGTGTCACAAGCGAATCGTTCCAAAAATGTTTGCACGTCGCGTTGGCCCGGGTTTGGATAAGATTGCGTATTCATTTTCGAAACGTGTCCGCGATTCGTTAGTAGGTTCGGTGATAGATTCGATGTCACCTAATTGTCAGTAAGTAATCCTTATTGTTGGTGCGACGAGCGAGCAAACCGTGTCGGGTTATCGTCTTCGCAACGCTGGCACGTCCGTCGAGTGGCTTGTATCATTCCTGCATTATTTTCTGCGTCAAGTTCTCGAGCGAGGAACGGCCGTGAAAAGTGTATGTAATAGTGTCACGTGACCGGCACGTGACACTGTGTCTATATTACTCGTTGCAGATTTGATCATCTTCGTGCGTAGGCACCGTACTCTCTGCTAAACCTACGAACCGATAGGCCGTGAATTTCTCGCAGTTTACGACCAATTCTGTCAGAATTAGATTAGTTATTACAGTGTGCTCCATAAGTCGTTCCACCATTATAAACTTTCATTTATTAAATATGGCCGCCCATTTTTAATGGGCGAGTGCTCTCTGCGTTAGAACAATGTGTTAGAGCACTAGTGGAAATAAAATTTAATTATTTCTATATATAGTTTCGCGGTGAACATTTCTTAATCAAATTCTCAACGGATAAGTTATCAAAATACCGAAGAAAAATTTTACAAAGAAGTAAATCAATTGTTAAACGATCGAACGACTTGTGGATCACCCTGTACTCATTGTTGGAGTCGATAAAATTGTATGGAAAATTTATTAGTTATTGCTCCCACTCGATGTAACTTGGTGTCTTATCTAATCTTCACGGCAAGAGAGACGTAACCACTTAGCACCTAACCCATTACCGTCTAATGTGCACTTAATTGTGTAGTTATAAGCTAATTTTTTTTTTCAAATAAGTTATCATTCACGCATTGATAATGTTTCGAAGCTGCGTACAATAAGTTAAATGCGCAGCGTGTCGCGCGAGTTGTAAATTGAATTCTTAGTCTCCGAACGAAACGAGTTGATCCTTTGATTCTTCGGCTCGCCTTTGACCGCCACGAAATTATGTCGCGGCTCTTGCGACGAATTCTCCGCGTAGAATCTTCTAAATGGCCACGGCTGGAGTAGGGCTGTTCGGATGAATCCTTTCTAGACTAATGTTATTAAGTTCATATCTCGATTGAACCCAGCCTCGTCTTTGAACTTTGTTCTGTAATTCGATTGATACAATGCCACGCATGCATGAATTTAAAATTAACGCAATGGACAGGTGGAACTACGATTTTCAGTTTATCGTATGTACAGGGTAATTTTAGATATTGGGACAAAGTTTAGCCAGAATTATGCATCTAGTAATAATGAAGTTTCGACGATTGCTCAATATTTGTCAACGAATACAGAAATCGCATGAAATTGATGTAATTAACTGAATTATCGACTTACGCAACGCGACGTAGCTACGTGCGTAAATGCAACCTTTTTGTATCATGCGATGATATATATAATATTATCGCAGATAACCCGAGGTTCATAGACATTATTAAAAATTGCTTTCGTTCGATGATACGATTACATAATATTATCGTATCAGTGTACAATATTAAATTGCTCGAAAAAGAATCGAGTCCGTAAACTTGCAATCGCCCGCCATCTAATTCTGGCATCATGAATAACGGCACTAAAAGATGAGAAAAAGGATGCAGAGCTTGCAGGTTTCGTTCGCAATCGGCGCCATTCGTTGAATACCTTCAGCTTTTCCATTTCAATTTATAACTTCTCTTTTTTATTAATATAGTACTTTTTGCTGAATACTAATCTGGAATATTCAATTTCTAGGGTTCCGGATATCTAAAGCGAGCGAACAGTGAACGCCTCCATGAAATATTTAACCAGGTAAAGACAAGTTGATTTATTGTTATCGTGATATATAGATTTGGACAAACTTTATTTGGCTTCTGTTCTTTTCTCTTCTAAAAAATATAAATACACATTCGTGTCTTGTATTCATTTACTTAAAATGTTTGAAAATGTTGTTTGTGTCTTCTGAACTTTGTTTGCGCCTATAAATACCTCAAATACCATATCCGCCATTTAAAAAGCATTCCTCTCTGCTGCCATTGGCATAGCGAAGGTCCATCGTCATGTAACATAAAATCAGAACGTTTAACGCCATGATATTGGATATCAGGATGTTTGTCTGTTGTGAAAACTTAAATGTCACGTTGTCATGACATTCCAACCGCAAATGTCGCGTTATGTTTTCGGACATCGACCTTTCTTTTTTATCTCGTGTTAAAGCTTGATTTACCGTTTTACGAGAAGAGTAAACAGGATATATCGGGTGTGCGCGAGATAGAACAACGGCAGAATGAGTCATCCGCTTATAAATATAAAAATTTGTCTATTGTTTAGAATTTGTATTAATAAAGCTTGTAATATTACACTTAATGTTAAATATCTCAGTCATTATTCTCTCGTTTTTACCATTGTTTATTATAGCATCATGTGTACTTCACCTAATCGCTATTTATGTAAGAGGAAATAGGAAATTATCTTGTGGGATAATAATATATATACAGGGTGTTCGATGGAAAGCTTCGCGTTTAAATATTTCGAAAATACATTCAAGAAAAATATTGATATTAGACCTATTTTAATTTCAAACAATTGACCTAAATAAATCTGTAAAGCGCAGGCATATTTGTAACTTCGTTTTTGCTCCAGTATTATTAATATTTTCGGATTCGTTTAACGATGCCAAAGTCGTAAAAGTCAACTTTGTACCTTATAAAAATTAAAAAAAGGAAGTAACAACGATAAAAAAATGTTTTCAATATGCAGTTGTGTTCACTACCACTGTATATAGATAAAAATTTATTCACTACTCTGTGATATAGAACACACCTAATTTTAGATATTTGTATTTTTTTTTAACTGACGTCTACACGTGCGAAGCCACGGCGAAAGCTAGTTAAAAATAAATGAAACCTCAGTTTCCTAAGCTTAAAGCAATATGTATCAAATAAGATCTAATAACATTTAGTTACGTAACATTATTATTGCACAAATCTGTCACTGTCAGGCACGGACTTTTTAAATTATTAGAAACCTCGTTAATTATCAGTTTGTATAATTATTTTAAGAAAAGGAAAATACATTTGTTAGCTTTGGTATCGTTAAACAAACCCAAAAATATCGACAATTATAACTATCTGTCCTTCTAATCTCATCTGATTAGATTTTTTGACTGTCAAATTTCTCTTTTATTCGCAAATTTTGTGGACGATTATTCATGGATTGCGGATATGTCGAATCTATTCGTTCTTCCAAACAACTTTTGACTAAAATTGGTTGGACGCTCGATTCTTAAGACGTCGAACACGGTTGCATGATGATGGGGCGGGGGTGAAATAATGGTGTTTCCCCGGAAATTACAGTACGCCTCGCAAGAGAAGAATGGCGAGAGGTTCATGACCCCGTCCGACTTCGTTAGAAGTTACCTTGGCCTTTACACAGATACCGACTACAATCCGGATTCCGTCAAGCTGCTCGCCGGGATCGTCGATACCAGCAAAGATGGGTCAGTGACAAAAATTGTAGACGAAGTTTCGACGAATATTTGCCAATTTAAATTTCGTTAGAAGTTGATCGCGCAACCGAGTTTGTTGCAATCTAATTTTGCCGTTGATACTTTCAGGCTCATATCGTTCGCCGAGTTTCAAGCATTCGAAGGACTGCTCTGTGTGCCGGATGCCCTGTACAAGACAGCCTTCCAGTTGTTCGACACTAATGGAAATGGAATGGTTGCGTTTGGTAAGTAAAATCTACGAGTAAGTTCGATTCGATCGCGTCGATTAACGAGCGACGAGTTTTCACGGTCTTCGATTTTCCTGTCCAAGACGAGTTCGCTGAGGTGATGCGGAAAACGGAGCTGCATCTACGGATGCCCTTCAACATGGATAGCAGTTTCATTAAACTTTATTTCGGAAAAGATAAACAGAGACTGATCAGTTACGCGGAGTTCAGTCAATTCTTGCACGTAAGTTCTCGTCAGGCTTTTCGTTTAAACCTCGTACAGGGAATGCAGAGCCATTTTGACCCGTGATGCAGAAATATTTTTGTCAACATGACCCTGCATTTGTATGTCGCGTCCGCCGTTCGAGGATTAAACGATTGTTTTTTGTCCAGGATTTCCACGAGGAGTACGCGACAGAGGGCTTCAAGAAATTCGACAAGGACGGGCAAGGTTTTATCTCTGCGTTAGACTTTCAGGATATAATGCTCAGCATCAAGAGTCATCTGCTGACCAAGGACGTGAAGGATAATTTAGTCGCCGTAAGTTACCAATTGCGTTTAGGTATAAATGTACAGATAACTGATTTGCAAATACCAGTCTACTTGCTATTCAGTTATTATTGATACATTTACCTCACGTTCCTCGGGGTTGTTTCATACCAAATGTACTCTACTTGGAGTAACAATTTAAGTTTGGTCGAAATTGGCTCGATTTATTTGTTAAAAGAGTTGCATCCAATTATCTGACAACAAAATATTGATCCAGTAGAAAATTTCATGAATTTGGTCTGCAAGGTAAAATTAAAAATGTTATTCCAAGAAGTGTTAATTTTGGCGTGGAATGGCGTCTGTTCAGACACAAGCGGAAGACAAGTAATCGAATGGAACGTGAATACAGGCCACTAGTACCGGCCAGACGGGTAGGAAGGTCAGCTTTCCATACTTCATGGCGTTCAATTCTCTGTTGAATAATATGGAACTCATAAAACGTATTTACTTGAACGCGACGAATGGGCATCGATTCGAAGAGGTTACCAAGGGTTTGTGAAAAATATCTTGTACATACGCTGGAAACATTCGAGTATGTTTTGCAATACCGAGGGTAATCGTTTTAATGTTTTCAGAGAGGTTCCTTCATTCCGCACAAATGATGTCGCAGATTACACCCTTGGAGGTGGACATTCTCTTCCAACTTTGCGACCTTCTTCATCAGACTGGGTGAGTAACTACGAGCTTGAAAGCACTTCAACGTCGATTGGTCACGTGGAACGAGTAATTCGGCTGCACGCAGTAAAAAAGGAAAAAAAGAACACAGTATTTTCAGTATCTGGGTGTTAGCCGAATGCGATAAATATTTTCCACGCTGACCTGGTCAACGAAAAACAATAAGAATAACAAGCGTACGAACGTAATGAAAGTCACGTAATGCTATCGTTGCATCAGCAAGCACACATCGTCATCATCCATATGTCGAGTGTCTCGTATCTTGGCAAAAGAAGATGGAGACTATCCCTATCAAGAGAATCATTTCTAATCGCCTTCTATGCCTACCAAACAAAAGCTAGTCACATAATTCTTTCCGATCTTCAGTGAGCGATGATTAAAGTTTTTTATGATTGAATATATTTGTTTACGTGTTTACGCTGCCTGGATCAGATCTACGGAAGATGACGAGGCAGATACGCGGCTTGGGTGCGTCTTTGTATTACAAGAATAATCACGTGCTATATAAATCTGTTATAATGCATACGTTGGCTACAAGTGAAAGCAACGGGAATTTTTCCGCGCACAGAAAAACAAAAACGCTCAAACAACGAATTTAGAAAATACGTTTGAGAACTCCTTCGACGCAAAAGATAACGAAAACTCGTAAATGTTCTTTTCTAAATTCCCTGTTTATCGTCTTTACGGGCAAAAATTCCCATTCCTTTCGTCAATGTAATTGTATGTACATGTAACGATAATCACACTTGTCTCACCTACTTTCTTCAGCATCTATCTTAGGACGATGGTATCTGCAAATATTTGCACACCGTGGGCACTAACGATTCCATTTTTCTCCCCGTTCAATGCTATGACAGATTTAAGGACATGTTTGAGGAACTCTATTGCCAGGACATATCTTTAGTATCGCTCGAAGCAGTGCCATCGACGTGTTGCATAACGACCATCTTAGATACCATCTTTTATTTTTATTTTTTAAACTATAGGGCAGACCGAGGATAGTTAACTAAGTTCTTACATCTGTAATTTCTATGAACAAAACCGGTAGCATTTTGTTAACTTGTTTTATACCACAAGTTCATACATTCCTTTAGGCAAACAGGCATAATTTTCTGCTTGGAACACATTTTCGATGCAGCAGCACATTACACGACAAATTGTACATTCTTTTGTTTCAATACGGTGAACAAAAGCACAGAATTAGTATACTTAGATCATTAGTCAACTAGGCCCGGTGTCCCCTAGATTCTTAAGGGAAATGATCCATCCATCCACCTTGCCCCCATGTTTTAAACGCTTCATCGCCGTCGAGAGCTACGGCACACGTTATTGAGCAGGCATTTTCTCGGGTTTCAGGAAAATTGTATACAATGATCTCGTGGCTATTACACCTGAGCAGTATTTCAAGCAAATAACAAAACGTCTCGCCGAGATTAAGGCGGTATCGGTAAGTGTGGCGAAAGAGAAGATTGTTCACGCCGGTCAGATGGCAGTCAGACATTCCCGGAAACAATTGCACACAATTACTCAGAATGTGTCAGATACGTTGTTCAATAGTCAGTATTATTGCCATTCCAGAGCCCGGACGAGCGTGGCGTGATCGTACAAATACTTGAGAGCGGATATCGATTCCTGCTTGGATCTATCGGCGGAGGTATGTTCACTGGCTCTTGGTATATTGACATTTCTCTTTACAGCCGTGAAGCGTTCTAGGATTGCCGATTCATTAAGTTCGTCTGCTTTTCAAATATCCAAACACCGTTGTATAGTTAGGGATAAATTATTTTAAGCTTTTGAATGCCTGCTCCTCGCGGAGTGGACACGATTAAAGTACAGTTGAAAGTAAGAGCTAGACGAAGGATATTTTCTTCAGCGGTCGGCGCTACGGCCGTCTACCCGATCGACCTGGTGAAGACGAGGATGCAGAACCAGAGGACTGGATCGCTTGTCGGCGAGCTTATGTACAGAAACAGCTTTGATTGCTTGAAAAAGGTTGGAATCGAAAAGTCTCGCCATGAAACACTGCCTGCATTGTTAATCATGAAGCTGGTGTTTTGCGTTTGACAGGTGATCCGACACGAAGGTTTCTTCGGCCTTTACAGAGGTTTGTTACCTCAGTTGATGGGCGTTGCTCCGGAAAAAGCAATCAAATTGACCGTCAACGACTTCGTCAGAGATAAGTTCATGGATAAAAACAGCAATTTGCCCCTTTACGGGGAAATAATATCCGGTGCCTGTGTAAGTGATCGATGAACATATTCTAGTACCTGACCCTTGATCTTAACGAAGCGTATGCCTACCTTTCCCGCCCACGACGAGTATTAGGATACTCAACATCGTTTCTGAGAGCTCCCGTTTGTTTTACAGGCAGGTGGATCTCAGGTAATATTTACAAATCCCTTGGAGATTGTGAAGATTCGGCTGCAGGTAGCTGGAGAAATAGCTGGGGGTTCGAAAGTCAGAGCATGGGCTGTTGTCAAAGAATTAGGACTTTTTGGTTTGTACAAAGTGAGTGTTTAAGGCTGTGGTTCTCAAACTTTTTAAGGCCACGCCATAGTTTAAAAGAACATTAATCTTTTTGGGCTCGTGGCACAATTTTCAAAAGAATAATTCCGACACAGATCTTACTCCTCAAATTGAAATGACCTTACTCTCGTCTACGTTTTCGCTTCTTTTAGGGCGCGAGAGCTTGTTTTCTACGGGACGTTCCGTTCAGTGCTATCTATTTCCCAATGTACGCACACACGAAAGCACGACTGGCGGATGAAGGAGGGTACAATACACCTTTGTCGCTCCTCGTTTCCGGGGCGCTGGCCGGTGTGCCTGCAGCAGCGCTGGTCACTCCTGCAGATGTAATTAAAACGAGATTACAAGTACGTTTCAATACGTCCAATCGATCATTCCCTTATGTCATTTTGTTCAGTAACTATACCGAATTATAATTGTCTCGTGTATACGTATGTATCTATATAATTACCTCTCATTATTTGAAAACCTGTGCCACCGTTCTGTGCCGTAGGTCGTAGCTAGGGAAGGCCAGACCACTTACAGTGGCTTGATGGATTGCGCGAAAAAGGTTTACAAGGAGGAAGGCGCCAGGGCGTTCTGGAAAGGAGCCACAGGTATGAGATTCTATTATATTTGTTTTAGTTCAGGTTTATAGGTAATTTCGTACTTTAAAGAGTAAGATAGCTTGTTAACTATACCTGGATGTGACATTTATTTTAAGTTCGATATAAAGAGAGTTAGTAATATATTTTGATTTGGTCGATTGCATGCGCGGGGATCGGCTCCCTGCCGCATCTTTCGACTATACTTCCTCTCCAATATGACCTGGCAACTTACTTCTAAGTGAGTACTTCTTTTTCTCTCTGCCTGCCAGTCTCGTTGTTTCTTTTTTTTTTTGTTTCTTCTCCCCATCTAATTTTCCTTTGCGAAATCCACTGGTTTTTTTCACTTTCTCGTGTTATTCCTGATTTTCTCCTCGATGCGTTTATTGTTTGTATTCAAGGTGGTTCGTCGAAAGCATCGCATCGCACGATTCGTTCTTTTCATGTGACTTATTTTCCTCATCATTTCATACAAGTTTCTTACAACCGTTGTTTAATTCTATTTTTAGGAAGAAGAATGTTTTGTTATTGTTTGATATTGGTTTTAATTTTATATGTTAAGTTTGAGGAAGCCTCGAGTAACGTTATAACAATTCATTGAACGTAACTTTTCAAGGGCGCCGAAATATCACTCCGCAAATCTTTATTCGGACAAAGAACACGCTCCAGTGTGTAGGAACGGAACAACCTTCGAGCCGTTGTTATTCGTACGAATTTTTTTCTATTTTACAGCACGAGTGTTCAGATCATCGCCGCAGTTTGGTGTCACGCTCTTCACCTATGAGCTTTTGCAGAGGCTTTTCGTAGTCGACTTCGGAGGATCGTAAGCATACAGTTTAAATTAAATTGAACGTCGTCCCGAGTTTCAAGAACAGCGTAAAATCCTTTGTTTCCGACTCTCTCAAGAAAATTGGTACCCTTTAGGTTGTGTAATAAGTCCGCTCGTGTTTTCTTGTAAGAAATACCTACAAAAAATCCGAGATTTAGCATGAAATTACTCCCGAAGCTTTCGAAAGAATTAAAAAAATCCTAAACAGCGCGCATAAAAATAAGAAATGTTGTTTTCAGACGACCTACAGGGTCGGAACAAAAGGTACCTGCTACAGGTGTAGCGCAAGAGATTCGATCAACGAACCCTGATCATATAGGCGGCTACCAAATAGCTCTGCCCATCTTTACGGGTATAGAATCGAAGTTCGGTCTTTGCCTACCCAGGTTCCAAGTGGTAACCAGCGGAAAAGAATTAGAGCTAGAGAAGTAAGCTTGTAGTAACCTCCCGCCATTACGAAACCCGAGTACGAGCTCCACAACACCACGAACCAAGTAAATCCGAGTCTTTCGAGCTATTGTCATCAATCGACGTTGGCGAAACTTGTTGCGTTGTCAAGCGCGACTTTGACCGAGGAATATCGAGACAATGCATTCTTGGAGTTGCAGAACCTTTGTACGGAGTCTCGGAACGTCGGAACACGAGGAAACCGATTTTAGAGAAAATTTATGGCAACCAAACGAACGAAATTCGGACGCAGAAATATTGAAACCTCGAGGAACTTAGTAATTTTTTCCAAATTTATGTTCGAACCTAAAGCATATCTTGATTCGAGGAAACGAAGAAATACTTTCACAGAAGCAGTAAGTGGAGCAGCAGGATCTAATCGTAGGATTCTCTTAATCGGCGTGCCGTGAAAGGGAAACAAGAGTCCTAGAATCGATAACGATAGAACAACGTCAACGCGCACAACCTATTCGGTGATCGTCGCTGAGAGACAGCTGGCAGGCAACTCTCGGTTAGATGAATCAAGAAGATAAAACGGTTTAGCCTAAGGACACTATTACATGTTCTTTGTCACCTTTTTACGCTTATGGTATTGATTACGCGCTCGTAAATCTCGAATGGATTGGCGATAAGGAGAAGCAGAACGTTCCCTACTCTTCATTACGGAAACTGGGACTCGTAATTCTTTTCCAAACAAAGATGCATAAACATTGAATCCTCTATTATCGATAAAAAATATGTTATAAATAAAAACTAAAATTGAAATTTTAGGTTCACGAATGAATCTACAATTTTGATTCATTATTCGCGAAAAAAGAACCTTGAGCACCTTACTTTCTCCATTTTTTACACGCGGAAACGTATATGCTTGTTTGTCGAAGAGACTATTTTCGTAATACGCTAAGACTTATAAAATAACTTGGTAGAATCGTTACAGACAATTTCGCTTTTCCTTTCTACTGTTCTTCTAGTCGCAACTGCCATTCGTTTTTCAGTAGCATAGTATACAATATTGTTCAAACGACAATTGAAGTTCCGATGGTTCGATTACGCGAATTTACTCGTGGCATTCTCTTTGTTCCGTCATGCAGCGAGAGTAGACGCTATACTTTTCTGGTGAACGCAGAAACCTCCGAACGTTCCGTGTTTTTTCGAGTCTTGTTCAGAGCTACAGCTACTTGCCGAATTTTTCTGTATTCAAATATTCGAGCAATGATATTTAAAACACCGATGAAATATTCGAGCAATCGTAGTTCTACCTAGTTCTGCCCCGACTCCGACAATGGTTCTCGCTGGAACAACGAAACGTTCTGATTCTTTGTAACTGCGTTCGTACGATATTTTGTAACGTTCTCGTTCGCTTTTTTCGGAGCAACGTGAGCGTAGCTTTCTCGTACCCGCGATGTAGCTCACGAAAAAAAATATCTCGCTCTATTTGTAAGTAAAGATTTATCGAGACCTCGAAAAGCAGCGTTTCAAACGATAAGGACTGGATCCTTCGTCTCTAGATGTTCATGAATTTCGAGCTATTTTTATCTTACTCCGTGAGCTGAGGATACTGTAGAAATTATTCAGTCGATCGTGGAAATGATCGAAAGATGCTCCGAAACGTCCATGATACTCATCTTTGATTATTTCGACCATCGATAATGTTTATGGTTACGTTATTGCGGTTTCCAATTGACTTTTTCTGTCACTGGCGCGGCGTACACGAGTATCTTTCACATTTTCCGACGATCAGGTCGATCAATTTCGCAATGATTTTTCGTCGAAAGTGGCTTTGAAAAACAATGAAATGGCTCCCTCCCGCAGTTCGATATTTACTATTTAAACGGGATATATACATATACGCGCTCTGTAAATCTCGACGAGTAACGGCGCTCCGTCTGGACACGAAGCGTTTGTCGGCTCGTAATTGCTGTAAGGGAAACTTCGAAGCTGTTTCTAACAATCTTCGTTTCGATGCTTTCGATCGAACATTCCGAAATACGCGAGGAAGGTAACGTCGAATGAACGGACTTGCGCGAAAAACGATGACTCAAAATTACTTGAGTCATGTACAGCGACGAACCATAAAGAATATCTCTGAGTTCACAATGTGATAGAAATCCGTCTTTTTGTCCGTAAATTGTTTTTTCACAACAGCTATTAGACATCAGCTTGTGCGACACGAAATCTTGATGAATAGTTTTGTAATAATCTGTCTTAAAAATTCTGATCCTTGACTCTGTATTACAATTTTTCTTTCCAGCTCTCGAGCATACATTGTATTATAATTTGTAACTTGAAAACCTACAGCTTATAAAGTTTACTATAATTTTTATTGTTGGCCACTGCATATTCCTTTTTGTGCGTTGGCCGAAATCTCGAACCACCCTCGGAGGTAACGAGTGTTTCGTTACTCTTTATCGCGAATAAGGAGTACGACGAAATTTATAGCGTGCTCGAAAGCACGATTTATTCAGTCCTCGATATAATACTTAATCTTCGATCGTTCGAAGAATTATCTCGTGACCTAACAGGTTGCTAATATCAAGTTCAAATGGTCGATATATTTTCGTAATGATAAGCGGAGCAAGAAACAAAGACATGCTGGTTTCTATATATTTGTGATTGGAAAAGTATTACCTTTGTCGATGGAGTCAAGTAGGAATAACTCCACAAAAGACAAAGTAAAAAAATTGACAAAATAATGTACATTCTTTCTTAAGGTTCCCTTTAAAAAATTTAAATTTCTTTTTGTCAATTTATTTTAAATGTAAAAAGTTACGTATTGGTAAAGTGCTTCGACACTAAAGTTTTAAGAAGTTGAAAAAATGAAGTTAGTCACTTTGGCTTGTAAATGACTCAAGTATAGAACAGGTGGTTACGCGTTTCGGGTATTGAGAAGCAAATGAAACGTAGGGAAGGCCTGTGTTCTCAACCATCCCGATCATAGTTTAATGTATATACTACATATGTTGCATATGTAATATAATTAGCCCGTGTACATACGCGTATCGGGCTTATGCGCGCCCGTTTGGCAGTTGCGAACGCTCGACTATGTCATCATACTCGACTCTGTTTAATTAATTTATTTGTTCAAAAGATTCCAAAAATATAGATCAAACATCGAATAATTTTCATGACATTTAGAATTTCTTAGTCGTTTAAACTGTCTGAGAGTTGAACAAAATTTTATTCGGATGTTTTAATTCTGATTTGATCTCCAATCGTCAATCGATTTTAGTCAGAAGTTATTGTAAATCTTTTAAAGTCGAGTCGGATTGTCTGTGAAAGTGTTCGCAGGCGTCCAAGTACATAAGAATTATAATAAACATTCAGGAATCCGTCGTGGGCATTTGTAGCTCAATAATACACTTTGGTTTTTGTACGTCGCACCAAAGCGTTCTTTCTCGATTATTTCTGCACCGATCTAACCTCGTTATTGTTGTCGTCACGATTTTTAATATTGCTACGGATATCTGTCAAGTTTAAATCTCGTTCACTGTCGTTGTCAGTGAAGTTATTCGGCGGGGAGGCTTATGACAAGTAAAGAAGAGAATTGGTGATGTCAGATAAACGTTAAAAACAAAAGAAAACAGGAATTGAAAAATTTCTACTCCGTAGAAACAGCGTCTTCAGAGAAGGAAGGAAATAAATTTCTTTTTTCAAGCGGAGCGATTACTTTTATACGTTTAAGCGACTCGCGCGAAGTTTCCTTGAATTTAGGTTAGTCGAGTCAAGGGTTTCTCCCACCGGCCTAAAACGCGAGGATACCTGTTCGAAAATAGGCATCATTTTTTGTTTTCCGTTTTCAAGGGAGAAAATAACATTCCAAGGCCGTCTCTGAAGAGAACCTGTTTTTAGTTGCTATCGTTCGCGTTTGTAACCTTTCCCAACAGAGATTGAAATTCTAGCCAAAAAAAGAACTTCGATTATCCACTAATGTATTAAACGCCCAGTTAATTTTCTTTCACTTTCTATTTAATTTTAAACAAAGATCAACGAGCAGGCAACCTCATTTTTGTTTAAAATGTTTCAATGAAATCCATCGAAAAAGTGCGAACATATTTTTTAATTGTAAACTATTATTTCTTAAACTTGATGCTGTTGGTCCCCAGAAATCAATATGGTGTTCAACACGTTAACCCCTTAACGTATAATTTAATCACAAGTAACTTTTCAAACTTATACTATTTAATTCCGTTTAAATGTATTCGTACAATAATTGAAGAATAAAAAAAAAAGCGATGCCGATGCGTGGAATTTCGATTTCTGTTCGCAGGCTCGAATTGTTTGCCTGTTATATGACCACTTGTTAGCGGGAGACCTAACTAAAGATGGTTACGTAATTGCACAAAAGATAAGGAAAGAAACTATAAGCAAATTAAAGTGTAAATCTATTTTACGAATTACTAAAATGAAAATGAGAAACTTCTTAACGTGTAACGTGCAAGCGGTTATCAAATATATTTAAAAGAAAAAATAATTAAGCTCGCTTCCATGGAACGACCGTCTCATATCCAAATTCGATGTGCAGTCGAATCATTGTCGATCTAATAGATAAAAAACGTAATTTACACAATAATATTATTGTGCTAGGTCTTTCTTGCTCCCCGTTAACGCAAATTGAATCGACGTTCTACGATCTGTGATCAATTCATGTCAGATTCTTGACGGTAAACCGGAAGGCCGATTAGTTAGATAACTTTGAATTTAATTCTTACGAACTTATTCAGTCGTAATATCTTTGATAATTTAGATTTACCTCATTGCGAATTGTAAAGATACACACACACATATGTGTATATATATATAAAAATTATAATATATATACATACTTGTAAATCAAAAAAAAAAAAAAAAAATAAAAAAGAAGAAGAAGAAATACCTAACTGTGAATAACATCTAAGCTGTTGTGCATATATTTTAAAGTAAGAATAAATATTATTTAAGAGACACGTTGATTTAATTATTTGTGTTATTTATTGATCATTTTTATTTGTTTATTCAGTGGTCGCAAGAATGAAAATTTGTGCAATTGAGATCAATGCTCTCAGAAAACTTTGAAACGACATACAGTACTGGTCGTAAGTATTAGGGCACTTGGCCTTTATAAGGATCAATGGTGGAAAAACAATGTAAAAAGATCGCAGGTGATTGAGTGAATGATTCGCAAAGTTTGTAGCATTTTTAATATTTTTTTCAATTTTGTAGTTCACTAGGTAAAGTCGTCAAATACATCTACCAATTTTATAAAAGAATTTAGTATCATAAAGTAGTGTGGGTGACAGGATAGGTATACAGACGCTTTTTGTATTCTTCTATATTGGTAATGTAATACGCCATGCACGTGTCATTTTGGCATTCCGTGGTGGGTATATAAATCAACGGATACTTGACGTTTCCTACTTTCTCTACCTTCGAGTTGGCTGTAAAGAAAGTAAACAGTAAAATTGTAGTGTAAATCATACTCATTCGATGATATTAATGGTGGGATTAAGATCAATATGGTTCGTTTTACTAGAGTGATCATATCACTATAACGTATACTTGTACGACGTTATAAAAAAATTAGTATGCTCACAATCTACTCTGTCCGCTTGCAACTTGGCGCCCTCGTTGTTTTCCTTGTCGATCGATTTAGGCGTTCCGTCCACGTGCACGCTCAACTTCCTCAAGTTGCTTCCGTTCATCGTGTGAGCAGCCATCCACTCTCTAAGCTCTCCGATCTTGATAGACTCTATTGCGATCAATTCGTTCTCGATCCTATCGAACATGTAATCGCCCGCCGTTATTTCTGCCCAGTTGCTGCTGTACTCTTCCCCTAAATGTATGGGGGCATATAGCTTCTGTCTTATCAATGTTTCCTGTATAGCTTTCAAATCTTTTTCCGAGGTCTCCTCCAGGATCTTATTGAATGCCTTTAAAAACTCTTCAATCCTGCTGTCCACGTGCTCCGTAGAGTATTTGTCCGCTTGGGTAAAAACTGTGATGGAATAACTAAGGATATTGAAAGTGTTGTCCATAACACAAAATACGTCGTAGCCGAGTTGCTCTTGCGTCCTCAGGCGATTGAAAAGGGGTTCCTCCATGATCGTCTAAAAAGGAATCGGCACAAATTTGTTAATTAGATTATTATAGGGTTTAATTTGAAGGAATGAATAGGATTCTCCGTGTTAGGGCATATTATACATACGGTCAGAAGTTCAATCATAACCGACAATCTAACAGATGCGACATCGGCTTGATAGTAGTTCACCACAACAGAGTTTGTATCTGTTTCATTGAAGTTCCTTATTTTACAGTAGTTTATTCCCAAAGGTACTTGATTGACTCTGATATACGGCATAGTATTGGGCAATAATGGACCACATTTCAGCGCTTTTATGCAGTCACGTACATTCTCGATGACGTCCTCCTTCGTCTTGTTACCTTGCGCTAAGCATCGAATGTAAATGTGATCGGTAAAGCTTTTGACGAAATTTTGAAATTCGTCGAACTCGACGTCGCTGATGGCGCCGTGCCTGTAGGTGATGGGCTGATGACCCAGCAATAGAATGGACAACTTCACGTCTCTGAAATAACCAACATGAATATTTGAAAATATTTCTGAACCATTCCGTGGACCGTACGAATCATTACGTACTGAACCAGCTTCTTAGGTTTCGAGAATGTATTGTAATAGCTTTTAACGTGTTCCTTTCTCAAAACGTCGAAAAATTCTTTCGTTACGAGCGTCGGACAGGCTGCTATACATGTTGCAATAGTGTTCAATAAAAGCTGAAAATCAGACAGTTAATTAAACGTAACAAATAAATGGAACGTCAGCATTTAGTACTCTTTACCGATAATTTCTGATTAAATCCGTACACTTTGAGCACGATACCCTCATCGCTCGAGTAGATCTCATAATTCAGCTCAGCAGTCGTAGCTGGGTACAACTCTTCTACCAACAACTGTTGCAATATCGTAACGAATAAATCAATTAAGGCCGCGCTAAAAGTCCAATAAACAGACCACAAATATTTGTATTCGTTATTCGAAATTATCAAATCCAATAAAAATGTTTGCTATTTTTTTTACGATTTACCTCTTAGTCGAATGGATAGCCATGGGTGTTATGATATAAAAACTCATGTAGCACTCGGGTAAACGGAATTTAGGATCGGGTCGATACCAGACTTCGGATATATCATCCGTGTAAATTTTTGTAGGATATTTCGGAACGTCTGGTGGTATAGTAATTAAACTGAAATCATCCGTGAGGAAAACGTTCGGTAATGGTAAATAAAATTCAGGCAGAGGTTCGATGGTTCTCCAGCACTCTATCCACGCTTGTGGTATTTCCGTGTCCGTGTATTTCATTTGGAACCACGGCTCAATTTTATCGAACTCTTCGTCGTTGAACTTCTTGTCGAAAATGATTATGTTCACATCGTCGGGGGTCAAGTAGTTCAAACACGCCCGTATAGTGTCCGGATTGTACTCCATGTACAACTTGTCACTAATGATGTAATCGCAAGGAGGAAAATAGTGCATGTTCTCGCACAATTCTTCCACATATTCTGCTGGTGGCTCTTCATCAATAAATCTAGGAACAATGCGTCTCTTTCATGTTAAATATTCTCCAAATTCTTTCAGTGTCGTGAAATTTTGGTTTACTAAGAAATAGTGTGACTAATTTGACTTATAACGAAGTATAATATATTATAGTCAACATATTTTAATTGCTATTTATTTTACTATCTTATGAAATATCTCTTAAATTCTATCCACCTGAAAGCCGTATCTGCAATCTGTTTAATCTCGTCGTAAATTCGCTGCTGCGGTCCCTCTTTGCGCATTAAATTGATGAACGAGAATATAGCGTTCAAGACATCCGACAAATGTTTGAATCCTTGCTCGGTTAGGGTCAACGACAAACTGAACAACGCATACATAGAGCTGTGTTCGAACCCACTCTCACTGTTACCGCTCTTAATGTCCAGACACCACATCTTATCTCTTAAATAACTAATCAACGAACCCTTTCCTTCGTGCCCTATAATCCACGAAACGTACTGATGCGATTTGCTTTTGTACAAATGGTGCATGGATGGCATCGACCATGTTAATTGAACCTACAAAACAAAGTAAGGAAAACCGTATGCTACGAATGCAAGATTTCTGATAAGCTTTCGTTTCTTATAGCTTAAACAGTTCTTATATTGCGTACTTCGAAATAATACAATTTTTGCTCGGGTCAATAAGCGCTTATGGAAGTTGGAAATTAATTTCAAATAAATTATTAGGAGACACGAGCTTGTTTTTAACAAAAAAAATAGATAAACATACTCTGCAGATGTCTTTTACTGGCTTGATCTTATAGATTCTTCGAAATCTCGGCGTGTCGAAGGAATTCGCACCCTTGAACATTGAAAAGTCGTCTGGTGGCAAATTATTATTTGGAACGTTCGAGAAACATTCCGTGACGTAATTTTCCAACACGTCTAATGGAAATTTAGCCTACGGAAAATCGAAATTTGTAATCCTTTCAATCAAAATCGAAGTTCTAGATGTGAACGGCAGCATGATACTTACTTGAATGGCAAGCTTCATTCTGTGAGCACTATAGTGACGCTCCCTAAATTTATGTAGCTCCGCGTAAAGCTTTTCGTCCGTCACATTGTCACGCAACGTTATCAGGTTACCCCAACTGAATTTCGTTACCGGATGATTCGGTCGTGCGAAACTACAAAACAATTGCTCTTTTCTATCAATATCAGAGGGTAAGGCCATCTGAAATTCTGCATACATAATTTAATATTATTGTGCATCGTCGCTTAAGCCGAATTTACCCCTTTTCGCTCACAGTTTTTGCTCACAAAGTGGAAAAGTGTGAAATCAGCTTTTAAAATAAGTGAACAACGTATCGATGCGTACCGCTTTCTACGGCTTCTCGTTCTCTGGTTATGGCATCTTTCTTCATTAGGGGTTCAATAAAAAATTGAGCAAAACGATCGAGAGCGGGCAACAGATACTTCTTTTGTATCTCAAAGTAAAACGTTGTGTATTCGCATTCGGTGGACGCGTTTAACGAACCGCCTCTTTTACTAATAAATGCATCGATGTCATTTTCCTGCAAATTCATTGTTCGTTACATGATTGAAAGATTGAGTTTCTCTTAATCGTATTAGCCTGACATCGATACCTGAGGATATTTCGCAGATCCCATAAAAACCATGTGCTCCAGAAAATGCGCCAGACCTGGAATTTCTGGTGGATCGCTGAAGCTTCCTACACCCACGCATAAACCACATGCTGCCTGTGTAAGAAATATGCGTAGCAGCACTCTAAGAATATTAACAACATATATATTTAACATCAGTTAAACATTGAGTCATATATTTCAACAGAAGATACCATTTTTTCTTCTCTTCTTAACCGTTTAGGGCGAGTGGACTTCTCCGCGTCTTTCGTATCATCCTCTCCATCGTCATCATCATCATCATCATCATCATCACCATCATCATCATCATCATCATCATCATCATCATCATCGTCATCATCATCATCATCATCATCATCATCATCATCATGATCATGATCATCATCATCATCATCATCATCATCATCATCACCACCATCATCATCACCACCATCATCATCATCATCATCACCACCACCATCATCATCATCATCATCATCATCATCATCATCATCATCATCATCATCATCATCATCATCATCATCATCACCACCATCATCATCATCATCATCATCATCACCACCATCATCATCATCATCACCATCGTCGTCATCATCATCATCATCATCATCATCATCATCATCACCATCGTCGTCATCATCGTCAGGATAATGAGGAGGATCCTCTCTGCTTTCATTGTCCGCTTCACTCTTGGTTTCTTCTTCATCTTCATCTATGTTAACGTTACTAGCAATTATTTATACTTTTACGGGTTACCCACGAAGCTATAATAACGTGGCTCTATAAAATTAAAAATTATCAGAGCGGCGGGAAGAGATAAGCAATGACGGACTATAAACAGGGTGTCCAGTAACCAGCATTTCATTTTGAAGAAAAATAACTTCGAAAATTCATTAGAAATCATTAGATTGGTGCTTGTGCCACCAATTACCAGACACTCAGTACAATAAATTAAATATTATTAAATATTTTACATTGTTAAGACAGCATACAAACTTATAATTTGCATAGAACTATTAAATGTTTTTAGTAGCAGCCGATACATCAACTCTAAGATCTTTTCTACTGCAACCGATTTTCTTTTCACCTTTATCTTCGTTGTCACTTTCTTGAGCACCAGCTGAATGCATATCAGAGATCAGCAGACAAGTCAAGCCATTTTCCAACTTGATCACCCTAGACATAGGCAAAGAATAGGATTTAAAATAAAATGTAAAGCAATGAATGGTAGGTAATGCCAAAATTTTTACCAAGAACATGTATATGTTGTGTTTTTTTTTACCTGTATTCTTTCTTGTCGTTTTCCGATTTGACAGGTGTCTCTAAATAAGTAACATTGCCACGTGATTTCTCTGAGACGTCGGGTGACACTTCTAGTCGATTTTCGGTTTGCATTTTGTCATTAAACACAGAGCTAGCACTATTGAGGTTATGTTCTGCCGAGGTGGTCATGTTTTTTATCAGATTTATTGAGCCTTGATTTGATTTCAGTTTCTTCTCGGGCGGACTCTGAAGGGGCCTTTTTGGCATTATTGTCAACTATAGGCACTTGTTTAATCTTGCATTGGTATACCTTGTCAACAAGATTAATGATAGGCCTTGGACGAAATGTGATGTTTTCTTTCTTGGACGTGCGATAAAGCGTGGACGACGTCGAGGATCCTATTCCTATTCTAAAATGCGTTCGCAGCATGAAATTCACGTCCCTTCGTTTCGATGTCTTCTTCTATGTTCACCTGATCGAAAGAGTTTCGTAAGACAGGTGGACAGTAATGTTGTCTAAAAGGCGCAAACTTGGTTAAAACTAAACTTAACTAAACTTAAATTATATTTCCATGGCTTCGATTTTGTGAAACGGGACTCCGAAACGTGACAATTTAATAAGTACATACTGTCCTCCGCTCACTTGAAGTCCCGCGAGACGGCACAGGGGCAAGGGGAGTTGGACCGCCCATTTATCTGTCTTGCTCACTTGCTCTCAGGCAGTCCACATGTGTGTGTAACTGCCGCGACGAATAGCGAGCTAGAGACCAATGTGTGCGTGGGAATACGTGTGCCCCTTCTACTTCTCCCGCATTCCTTCCGCGGGACTTCAAGTGAGCGAAGGACAGTACTGTTACTCGACTATTGCGCGAAGACGGTCTAGTGATTAGATTGGTAGATATTTGCGACTTGACGGTCGAATGTTTTCTTTGCAGCTATTATGTGAATATAGTGCAATGCAGGCACGTTAAACTCATTTTAATCACAGCCTAAATTTACACTTCGTTATATTTACATTCGCACGCACCGGTTTACGCAAAAGTAATAACAATAATGTACATCAAGGGTCATTGATTCTCGCTATCTAAGAGAAGGTCATCGATTCCAACTAGAGATGGCGTGAACTGCTACTTTTGAATCACTCGTGATTCGATCACGTTCATTCCCAATCATGGTGATTTTTCACAGTGATTCGTGATTCTTTGTGATCGCTTTTGATTGGTAGGAAGCGTTCTTTTCATTTTTCACTAATTACATATGTCCTTAGACTGTATATGTATTATATTGTTGCGACGGACTGAAGATGCATCGTTGCGGCAACGTGAAGGCTGTTCCGCAACGATGTGAAGCTGCTCTTTCGAACGAGCGGAAGCGAGAGCCCTTTCCTTCCGGTTGCCAGAGGAACCGGCAACGATTTAAAAGTAGAGAACTACGTGAGACCTCATAGAGAACTGACGTACCGAATTGTGCTCTGTTTAAATAAAGCTTGTTCTTGTTTGTTAGTTCGTGTTCCTAGTTTTATGTTAATCTGTTCTGCGATAAAATGAGTTGTGCGAGAAACACCCCGTCCCGGCGCAACAATATTATAATATGGTCTAAAAGCAATGTTAACATAATTTTCTTATTAGGAAAAAGAAAAGGAAAAATTAAAAGTGATAGATGTAAGTATACGTTTTATTTCTCATTGTTTCAACATTCGTTTCATAAATTTGTCAACAGAGTAATGTATACGCAAAACTAACTTGTTTGTAATTTTAAATTCTAACTTATTTCTTTATAGTATACATATAATACAAAATGTCATATTAATGTATAAAAACGTATAGTATTATGTATATATATGTTTTCATATAAATGAACATAAGAATTTTCATTACAGATGATTTTATACTTTTTCTTATTTTTAAAGCGAGTGTTTTACACCTAAGCAATACTTTTTATCATTTATTTAAATAATCAACTGAAACAATTTGACATTTCAAATGTACAAAATATGCAATTAAGCAGCCTTTTTCATTGCTTAGACTACATTACTTTACAATTTAAATTTGGGGCATTTGTAATTCTTTGAACCATAATGATCAAGGGGTCTTCAAACGTGTATTTCCGTAAGAAAAATTTCACAAAATTTTTTTTCATTATAGTACTTTGCTTATGTGCGCCTACATAGGTCGGAAAGTAAAAATATCTGGGCAGTCGAGATTTGGAATCGATGTGAGATGTGAGGTCGAATTTCAGTTGTTCAAGAGCGAGAAGGCAAATGTGAGCCTTCCTCTCTTGACTCCCACGAGACGGTCCGAAATTACTTCGGGCAGTTTCGGAGAATCGAGAAAGAGGGCATGTGTCAGTTTGCCTTTGTCGACTTTCCGAAGTGGAATGAGGTATCCCCGGTGCACCCGATGTTCCGTATGGCATCCTTGATGTGTCGGTTGGTACTATGCATATCGATAATCAAATCAACATTTCGATATCTCATACGAGATTTAAATTTTGTGTAGACAACTAAACTTGTGTTGAAAAGAAACGGTTTAATCATTTATAATTATATTTGTAATTTAAGGTTGTAGCTAATTATTTGATGTGATTATGGATCAAGAATATTATTCGTCTATGTATAAATGGTAAGCGTGTTTATATGAAACATACTAGATAGATTAAGAAGAAATTGAAGGTTAAGTTCTATTAACGATCGATAGAATTTGTATTATAAGTATTTAATATGAACTTGATTTAAAATTTCTTAACGTTATTATTAAAATTCATATCTTTTAATTGTCACGTTGGTCATAAATTATATTAGATTAGGATAATTATCACTCCGTTAAAAGTAATTGTTGTATTGTTCAAAGGTTCGAAAAATGTGGAGTGATATCAAACATAAGAACGCATCTTCGTCAAAATTTAATAAACGCATTAAAAAATAAAGATCTTATATTGAAAAGCGATGGTCCCAAATCTGCAAAACAATACATTTACGATTTATTAATAGCAGAGTATTTATTTAATCATAATTATGCTTATACTTTGTCTGTATTTGCCAGTGAAGCACCATTGTTAATAAACTTTACAAATAAAATAATTCAAAAGTCTAATGGGAATGAAAATGATAATAAAGGGAAATTAGAAAATGATTATATATTACACACATTGGAAACATTGGGTATTAATCCTCATGATGCTAAAGGTCAATATGTTATATCACAGTACACTAAAAATGATATGCCATTACTCTTATGCATACTCAAGTGCATAACAATGTTCTCCTATAATATGCATAATAGTGTGCCAATAAAAGAGAAAGTAATTTTGTGTAATGAGTCCACACAAACTCAATTTTCTTGGCAATCTCATAGCTTGCAAGTAGAAAAATTAATTGCCCTAAAAAGAAAAATATCTATGCATAAGCAAATAGTAGATGATAAGCTACGTAAACGAGAAATTATATTAAAAGAACAAGCAGTGCTTATTGAACGGCAACTGGATGTATTAAATACAAAATTGCAACAAGTTCAGGTATCTTAAACTTAGATTCTATTATTAATAAGTATTCCAAAATAACTAATAAGAAATAAAATGTATTTCAGAATGTTGCACGTTCAATAAGCTTGAAAGAACAACAGCTAACGGAAAAATCACAGAACAGTGAAAAACAAATTTTACAGAAAGAAATGGAATTGGCATTAAAAGAAAGATTATTATTACAGGAAGAAAATAGGTAACTGTATATGATAACTTACACATTATTCAGTTGAATTTCTATATAATTACCTATTACAATTTATAGACTGCAGAGGGAACAAAATGACTGCAAAAAGTTGGAAGAAGACTTAAAAAAATTACAGGAAGAAGAAAAAACAAAAAAAATATCTACAAGTCGCAATTTAAAAAATATAGATATACAGACGGACTTTGTAATCGATTTATTGCAAGAAGATAAGATCAAGATGCTTACTAAAGAAAAGGAAGAATTAACTACTCTTATAGAAGATCAACAATTAAAAATAGAACAAATAACCCAACGTGCCCTCCAGTTATGTAGACAAATAGAAGGAATACATGCGTTAAAGTCCACTAGCATAGACGCTCCAGCGCAAACTGTAAATACAAATACAATCATCAGTGAAAGTAGTTCAACAGAAGATATTCTTCAGGATGCAAAATTAAGACTTAAACGCTTGGAGGAAGAAAGTTTGAGAGCAGATCAATATTATTATAATTTTATTAATAATTCGCCTTAATGTTACTCCTAATAGTAATTTAATAGCTGTACAATAAGAATTAGCAAGGCATCATATATGTATAAGAATAATTTGCATACTGCAACAGTATCATTCATATTGAATTATATAATATAATGCATATAATAATTAGATAGAAATATGAATAAATGTTTTTCTCGGTTTTTGGAGTACATATTACATGGTAAGTACAATGAATGAACAATCAGGTATGAAATTTGTGACAATGTCTTTATTGCAATCACTAATTCCTATTTATTATAAACTATATAAAATTTCAATTATATGTACAAATTTAAGACTGAATTGAATGTGTACCAAAGAGTTTTTGTTACCTACTTTATTTTATAAAATTGGACGTTAATATAATATACAAATTATTCTCTATTTTTCTTTATTATTTGAATTCTACCTTAATTACATGCAACACCAAACGTAGTATATAAAATGTTAAGTCAATTTTTTTCCATTGTTGTACATCATCTTCGTTTTGGATCCGAACTCCGCCTAGTGTACAATGATTAAGGATTATACATTTTTCGTTTAAATTATAATAATTTTACTAGTACAAATTGAATAAAATTTATATTTAATACGTATTAAAAAAGGATATTGTTTATCTCGACTTTCACGGCCTTCCCGTTCATGAGTACGTTCCTTTGTGTAGGGTGACTTTTCCTGAAAATATATTCTCATATGAATCTTCTGAATGCCATGTTTTCCTGCAATTGACGTTTGGGTACTTGATAGTATCACCTATTTTTTCTGGTCTTTGCTATTGTCTCCCATTTCGTCTTTTCAATGTACTCGAAGCGGACGTCTTTATCAACTAAGGGGTCAAGGAATAGTGTTAGAAAAACGATTAAAAGTTAATTGATGTCAGAATGTTGGGATAAATAAAAAAAAATGTGATGTAATAGGATTTAGAAAAAAAAGTGTAATATGTTACTGCGATGTGTGTTGAATATTCTTATTGAATTGAGACATTTATACATGTTTCTTTTTTTCAATCCATAAGGATTTTGTAATATGCTATACCTTTTTGTGCTTCACAATTACAGGGAGGACAACTAATGACCTACTTCCAATCGATTTTGCTATATGCGATGAAAGACAGCTATACGACTATCGAAAAAATCATTCAAATAACATCAAAGAAAGCTTAATGGAAATATGTTGCTAACGTATATAGCATATTATATAAAATTATTCTTATTTATTTGAATGAATATCGATCATTTATGAAAAAACAATTTTTTATATTCTTTTTACTATAAGTAGTAAAAACTTCAATTTAAAACTACCAACCTTGTTATAGTGATGTTTTTCTCTGTGTTCTGGAATATCACCGTTTTGGTGTGCTCCTTTTGCTAAAAATAGTTTTTATTGTTTATAGAATAAAATTCTTTCAAATTCATAATACCGAAGTAAATTGTATATACCTCTTTCATCATCTTTTCTTCTTTTTTGTTCAGTTGTGATTGCTGATTCATCTGCCCTATCCTGTTTTAATACGAATATTGTATACATGTATATACTAAATGAAACAAATTTATCGTTTAATAATATTATATTACTAAACTTTATACGTTGTAAATACGAAACATACCCTCTTTCGTCCCAATTTCTTTTCTTTACGTAGTTCTTTTTGTTCATCCCTTATTTTGCCCTTACTCGAACGTTCTTTTTTGTCTAAACTACCTTCTGTGCGTCTACCTTCCTGCTAATGACAAAAGAACGGCTTACAACAAAGCAGATAAAAAATAGATCAACAGAATGCAATGGTACTCACCTTTTGTATGTTTTCAACTTTTCTTCTTTTTGCATCTGAAATTAAATATTATCAGTAACGCAATATACGATAAACATATACATATACGATATTTTTTAAATAAGCAATTATCTTTCCTAAAAATACTGTAAGAAAGCTCCAATACACTTTGTCTCAATTACATTTTGAATATTTTAATACAAACCTCTATCAGATCCATCTTGAGTTGGTCCGGAACTAGCACTACTATTTGATACACTAGAGAGATCTCGATCTAAATTGTCTACTCCACTGCTATAATAATGTTCTTCCTGTAATTTAGTTAATATTAGACACTAATACACATTTTAAGTGTTGTATAATGATTAATCTGATAATTTGCATAAAATGTTTAATTACTTTGTAATATTTTCTATCCTTTTTATCTATCGGATCATCTTCTTTAATTTCATCCTTTTTTATATGTTTGTCCTTCCCGTCTGAACTTTCCTTATTTTCATCTTTCTTTCTGATTTTTTCAGAACTTTCGCTAGATTGAAAAAAAAAATGCTAGAGCACTTTCCAATAATATTACCCAGGTAGAAATTTAAATATCTATCGCATAACTTACTGATGTAGTTGATTCGATGCGCTTCGTTTCTCTCGTTGATCTTTATTTTCTTTTTCCATTCGAGTGTCACCGTTAGTAATTTCTTTATTTGATATTCCATCACTGACTTTTTCCGATGGATCACTATTTGAAGTATCTAGCGTCTTTCCAGCCTACATAGAAAATGCATTGTTTTATAAATAAGACAAATATTATAATTATAATTATATACAAACCTTGTCTCCTACATGATGGAAATCTGCTTCGCGAATCATATTTGGAGTTTTGGCTTTCAATTGGCCACTATATGACGTAGCCAGGACATGTAAATCTTGACGTTGTCCACGTTCTTCTTCTCTTACTTTTTCCACTTTTCGCTCAAGAATTTGTGACAGTTTAGCCAATACAGGGAAATGTGGCAATATTTTTATTAATATTATTAAAGAATTTCTTATTTGTACATAATCCTTGGAATCCAAACAAACTACTATAGCCTATAATATATAATCGTTTTAGTACTTTATGACGCAATTTATTAATACTTTGGTAAATTGGTAATTTTAACGCGCAATCTAAGACTGGCCGCTGAGAGCAATTTATACAAATTTATAGCTGGTTGCCACCGGATTCTGGCATTAAAATTCATTAAATATATTTATTTAGTAGATTGAAAAATGACGTAAAATATTACATAAACAGATGCGAAGGTATTAAAAGACATAATTCAGATAACGAATACCTTGGTAATTTTGTAATGCCACTTGTGGCACACGTGTCTGTAGTTTTCAAATCCTACCATGTCGTTCGCTTCGGAAAATTGATTACTAACTCGAAACTTCGTCACGAATCCTGGATAATTACTACATTCCTATAATACGAGAACCATATAAAAACGTTTAGGCATTTGAAATGCGATTAACGAGAATTATACCTTATCGAATATGGCTTTCTCAGAATGCCATCTCATTACTGTTTCAAGCATGGCGCATAAAAATCTCCCATAACGATTTGCTTCGTTCTCGGTACATGAGGTAACTGAATATGTTATATCACAGAAAAGCTGAAAGATTAAACACGATCCAGTAAATAACTTAATTAATATTACTCGAGATGTTTTGTTTTTTTTTTATATAGATAACACTCACTCTGTCGTAACAAAGAAGCGTTGAAAAATTTGCAGTCTTTAAAGAATGTATAGTGTGAACGAACTTAGCACAATACATGGCATCCACAGTCGTAAATGTACATCGAGGAAACAGGCACAATTGTAGGAATTGGGTTATCGTTTCATTTTTCGCCGATTTAGCGCTCCGAGATAAAAACCATGTATCTTTCTCTTGTCTGATAAATCGATATTTAATTTTGATTAATATTTGATTAATAAAATAATTAAAACTCATTTTAGTCTCAAACTTCCTATATTTATATAGTATAATGTTTCCGGGCAGTAATTAGGCCTTAATAAGAAGCAAACTATTATTCCAATTATTATAATAAAATTTTACCTGAGATATGCAAATACTTTTTCAACGTGTTCTTCTTGTTTTTTCCTTTCGTCCTGTAATTTTTCGATTAACGTAGTATATCTTTCTTGTTCCTTTTTCCCTTTACTAACATTCTGTAAAAAATATATCAACTTAAAATTAATAATCTCTGAAGATGTTGGTTTGTCGTACAAAAACACACATTAACGCACCATGTCTTTGGAATCGGCACTTTGCGCCGCAAGTTGCTTTAGTTTATTAATTTCACGCTGATAACTTTCCACAGGGACGTACAAATCATACATAGACAATGACCAAAATGTTACAAGAAATTGCGGCGAAATATCTTCCCATACTTTCAAAGGATGCAAGGGTCTAACGGATTGAGCAACAGGTGCCATAACCGCTTGCGCAGCTTCTGCATATTTCGCTTGTTTCATAGTGGTTGACATTTTTTTGTAGTTTGGGTCAGCTTTACGTAGGGCATCATATTTAATCTGAAAGCATCTAATTTATTCTAATTCTCTAAGGTATAAACACAAGTTTATCGGAAACATGGAGATTACTTACATTAATAGCATGTGCGAACATTGGTCTAGCAAGGAAAAATGCAACATCAGAATGTATATGATTGTCCTGAAGCATAGAGTGTATGGTGGGAAGTCTTTCAACGTATTCGTCTACTGTCATTGTCGAACCCAAGAAAGTTCCAAATTGAACTAACGTATCTTGACACTGATCATACAATTTCCCTATAATTTTACATTAAATTATATGTTTACGAACTTCCCCGCGAAATCACGCAGTAAATAACGAATTTAAGAAATGCGATATTTACCAACAAGTTTAAGATGAGATTTATCTGTCTCTCTGTACACAACACAATGTTTTTGTTGTGCCATTAATAGACATAGAGCTACAGCAAGATCATGTTCAGCAAGAGCTTCTTTTAATCGTTGAGACGATTTCTTTGTATTACGTACTTGACTGAAATAACCAGCCTAAAAAATACTTTAATAGTAAATATTTACCTATCAACTCAATTGGTTATTTACTATTTACCTCGTTTTTTAATAAATCTCCGCCTGCCATAGCGTCCAATTGATCTGAAGTCATTTCTTCAGCAGCTTCAATACCTGCCATTTTTTGTACTATTTCTTTCAATATTAATAAATCTAAGCTGAAAATAAAGATAAATAATAAAACTTCGTATGCTCCCTTTATACATTGTCTGAATTTTATCATTATTACCATGTAATATTAATATTGACTTTCTAAATGAGTATACCACATCAGATGAGTAACATTTATGACAGTACTTGTTAAGTATAATCAAAAGATATGTATTAAACTATTAGTCCCTCTTATACAATATACCTTTTTTGTGCTTTGAGTTGGTTAGCTACATATTGCAACAGACCAGTAAGTTCAATATTATATTTTTTGAATATAGCTCCACAGAATGAAGCTAGAGATTGAAGCCAAAGAGATATGCTGGTACCATCATGTTTAAATCTATCTCTATCAGCACCTGCTAAAGCTTCCACAAGACAATAACCGAGTACATCATACGAAATGTTTGTCAGATATTTTAGAGAATCTACGACAGGTCCTGTAACAAATCAAACAATTTTAAAGATTAAAATGCATGCCCGGAAAACTATAATAAATTGAATTAATACTTTTTATTCACAATATCTTTTGCAGGACATTGTGCCAGAGTAGCAGAGTTGATTAGTGTAAGATTCATATAAGATTGTCAACATACCTATAAGATTATCATACAATTGAATTTGTATAAGAACATAATCAAATAACACACCAGGCGACGAATGTGTTAGTTTGCCTATTGACCTTCCTACAGGTTTAATAGTTTCCTTGCTTACTCTTTTCATAATAGACTTAATCATCTTCTGTGCATCGGCTCTTTTCCGTAAAAGAGCAGCGTGCTGTAAAGGTGTATCGTTCTTCCAGCGAGCGTATAAACAATATCGATTTTGATACGGATAATATTTTAAAATATTCCACAATTCTTCTGCAACACAACAGTTGCAATCCATGAAAGACAATGAGGGTAACAATGCCACGTCGAGAATAGTCAGTACATCATAGTAAAGATTATTATTCTTGTCAACCGGTTGCTTGTTCGAATCTAACGGGCACTGTTTAATAGCCGCATGACATAATCTCATGATTTTGTACATTAAAACGGGATCATGGTGTAAATTGGGACCAAGAACTATGAGCATCGGTAACAACTGATCATGTATCTGTTCAAGGTTTTCTATCGACTTTGGTGCTAGAGAGCTCTTTAACGGAGGTACTCTTCTGCCTTGTATTTTCGGCGATATGATACAATACCTGAAATATAGTATAATAACAAAGTACCATAATTTAATCGTAACAACATATTTCATGCCCAAAATAAATAATAAATTACATAAAATTATACTTACTTGCGATAAACGGGTTCGATAAGGGATTGAATCATTTTGCAGAGTGCTAACGCAATAGGACGCTGATCGGTAAGACTGTGTTCTGGTAACCTACCAAATAAGTTTTGTGCTACCTCCCAAGCTCCTATTTCTAACAGTGCTTCGCATAATCCGAACTTTTGATTGCATATATATTTATCCTTTTAGAAAGGAAAGATTTAAATAAAAACTTGAATAGTACCGAGATTAATTTAGAGTGAAATTATACATTCGTGTACCTGTAGGTTTTCTTTTTCCTCTGGGACTTCTTCTTTGTCTTTAGTAGAAATTATGCTTAATTTACGGACATATTCTTTTGCTAGTTTCATTGCATGCTCATGTTCTTTAATAATAGTCCTATCATCTGGCACTAACCATGGTAATATATCATCTAACTTAATGACACCGTGTTGTAACATAAGTGCAGTAACTTTTTGTAATGAAAACGGAGTAGCATTGACAGTACAACAATATTTAAATCCTAGAACTTCGCAGAGTACCTGCTGATCACTCATATATGAACGAATTAAAGGAATAAACAGTGCATCATCCTGAGGTCGATTTTCGAAAGTTTCTAATAGAATGTCCAGTACTCTATTAGGGTCTAAATTAAAATATCCTACAAGAATGATACACATGTAGTTCTGTATGCTATTCCAATTACACTATGAAATTAACAATAAATTATACCAGAAGAAAATAACATTTTATACACATACCAATAAGAGATTTAACAATTTCTAGTATCGATGGAACTTCGTTTTCTGGACGTTCCTGATTCAATTCCACTATAAGTTTAGAATAGCCTTCGCTCTCTTCTCTGAATAAATTAAATTTCCGTTGTTTATAGCTGTAAACAAAAATATAAATTTTATTCAAATTCTAATTTATTCAAAATAAAATTACACTATTGGATAAAAAATACATACTACAATTTTGTTTTCACTTTGATAAACTTAGTTTGAAAACTCTTATTCTTTAATGTTCCAACATCTTGCAATGTATCGATTTCTAAACGTTCCTTCAATATCCTATCTGTTAGAAACTGTGCAAAAAGTATATGACATAAACAATTATGTCATTGTGATTTTTTTTAACAGACTGTAAACACTTCGATTGCATTTATTGTTATCTTATAAAATGATACCTTTTCTGCTTCTTTCACAATATAATAAAAGTTATTTCGTTCTTCGTTATGTGCTTCTGCATCTATCAGTGTAAATATATCTACAATTGCAGATGGTATTGCTCCATCAATATTCTGAAAAGAAATATATTTTGTACATTAAAGATCAGCCAGAAAATCTATATGGAATAAGTAGTTTTGTTATTCAGTTTTAAATCTATCTATTACAATAATGTTTATAGTTCATGAATCATTCATCTTACCATCAGTTCACCTAATGTCTGAACTACATTGTCCCTTTTTATGTTCCCACGGATTCCATTCGATATTAATTCGTACAATCCTCTTCTCCATTCTAGAAGGAAAAAGAAATATCACACATAAATGTAAAAAACATTGTGTTTCCTACAACACATAAAATATTTAGATATTGTATTCAAATCAAGAAACATTTAACATTTTTAATATTTGCGTGCATTCCTTATTCAATGTGCAAGCCAGAAATCTTATGAATTTAACACTGGAGACATGGAAACAATAAGCTTTAATATATATAAAGCAGGTACACTAATGGAGCATATACCCAAGCTGGCAAGGTAAATCATAAAATTATAGAAATTCACCTGTAGTGTTGCCTTCCTTAAATTTGTGCTTGATTAACTTGAGGCTGCAAACAGTTGTTAATTGACAATTAACTCTTCAGAAGAGCGAGAAACAGGAGAGATAAGTTGCAACCATCAATTGCACAGAGTATGCAGTATCAATTCAATATTAATCGAACGCACTTCTGACGTTAACGCGTTAACCACTTACAAATCATTTTTCCCATGTTTATCCCATGCTTTCCATATTTCTGAATTCCACACTTTACCAGCCATTTTAATTCCATGAAAAGCTTTTTATGATTAATAACAATTGTATCAACATCACAGGTGATCACAGGTTAATAGACTCCATTTTCCACCATTGCAAGCGTCCTCGAAGCTATCGCGGCGCGATCTTCCTTATGTCATACACTATATCTAGTATGACATCTTTATTGTTAAAAACTTTTTACGCATTAACAACGCTATTCTTAGTGATAACATGTTTATTATAAAAGCAATAGAAAAATCGTGTATGTGCAAAATTATATATACGAAAAAGAACCACATTAAATGAAATCGTGTGACAGAAAATTAGATCTCCAATAAATGCAAATTCAATAGAGAGTAATTATTCAAGAATGTGATAAATATTGTTAGTTCCTTTTAATGGCTCTATCGTTTACAATTTTGTAATAAAAGTACTGCCATTAGTTTATTAACTCTTTGTTGAATATTACTTTTGGCTAGAGACACGATAAACCAATGAAATCATATTGCGGTTCTTTCAGTTCAATACTATAATATTTCCCATATATTTTACATTTATTTAAAAAGCATTATTTTAACCGCATTAATTTATGTAAAATAAATGTATAGTTGCATAATAAAGATATTAAATGAAGAAATGTATAACTTGTGTAAATTGAACAAATTATTTTGCGTGTGCTTTATATATGTATATATAACAATATTTTTATACTTTTAAATGCGTAGTTACATAATATATTGCTAAGAATTTTTTGTGATTGTAAATATGTTCTATGGGCATTTTATACGTAAATATTATCAATGGGCTGCTGTACAAAAACGATGAGTTTAAGAACACTAGAAACTTTGGTTCTTTTGCGTTGAACCATACGTCGGAGAGGTAATGTCAAATTCGCATAAACAGAATCGTGAAACATCTGGCTGTGAATTAAACAAAATAAATAAGTTTTCATAGAATTACATTAATTAATAATTGTACAGTAATGCGATTTCAATATTATCATCCTAGAATATAAAATGCCTTATAAACACACATGAGTCGATCATTGTTTTGTTTACTATTGTAACTGCGAACCGATATAATTTAAGTTAATTGAACTAATCCAATGTTTTGCAATAATGATAAATTTTTTCATCTATTTTATATATTTAACTTCTATCTTTGATTCCTTCGATTGTTTCAATGAATTTGTTTCTTTGTTTGCACTAAACGTTGTTTGGTTATGTCACGTTGTGGTAATAAGATTTATTTTGTAATTTTGTCTTTAGTAGAAAATGGCCAAGTCTACAGAGAAAAAGGGAAAGAGTGCTATCAACGAAGTTGTGACTCGTGAATACACAGTGAATCTTCACAAACGCCTTCATGGAGTTGGATTTAAAAAACGTGCTCCACGAGCAATAAAAGAAATTCGTAAGTTTGCTGAGAAACAAATGGGCACTCCAGATGTGAGGATTGATACCAGACTCAATAAACAACTTTGGTCCAAAGGAATTAGGTAAATATTATATATAGAATTTAAGGTAAAAAAGGTTCAAAGTTGTTTGAAACAAAATCAATCTTTGGATGTTTATTTTCACTATGTTGCATTGTTTTTCTGATCTAAGTAAATGTTGTATACTTCAGAAATGTACCATTCAGAGTTCGTGTACGATTGAGCAGAAGAAGAAACGACGACGAAGATTCTGCAAACAAATTGTATACCCTTGTTACGTACATACCAGTTGCTACTTTTAAAGGTCTCCAAACAGAGAATGTTGATGCAAGTCAAGATTGAATTATTTCTAAATAATAAATAGTTTTCATCAATTCTTGTATCTATAATTATTGCAACCCTTGACCTATTATTTAATTCGAAATTAATTACACATTGATAATTTGTAAAATATCAAATTGTTTCGGTTCTACTAAAATTGGAAGATTGAACAATTAAATATTGCCGTTTGCTAGAGCCTTTTAAAATTCAAATAAACTATTTTCTACCTTAATTGATTATAATTTCATTTAAAAATTAAAAACTGGTATTTAAAAATAAAAAATATGTTTGATATAAATGACATGATATTGCGACTTATCGATTCTAACATCGATTGTACGTCTGTTTTCTAAATAATATGCAAGTTTCTCATCTTGCAATGTCCCTAGCTTACCGGTATTACTATTTGCCAGAATCTAGGAAAATTATATTTATATCATGGTAGTCATGGTTGGTGAAAAAACGCTATCATTGTCTGCTACCTTTAAGGAAGTTTATTATTCGTATGGATCCTGGCATTACGATAGTGTTACAGTTCGAATAGTATAAATTCTGAAATAAAGGCAGTGAGAGTAAGTAACATTAAGCGATCGCATAAACGCGTGCTAACTATATCGTTTTCAATTTGATTCGTGAGTTACGAGTGGAGTCGTAGACCTCATCTTTGTTTATACGTACGACAATGACGAGTTCCTAATCTCTTATTTAAACGCCAAGCGTAAGTTGATTTGTTCGTATCATTTTGTTTACGTGATCGTTGGTTTATCTTTTTGTTCTATTTTAATTTGTTGTACTTTGGTTTATCGAAATATTTGCGGAAGTTTTATTTGAAAGTTCTTTAGCAATCGTATAGTCACAGTGTCGCGTCCCACTGAGGTTACATTTGCATTGAATAGCGTTATCGTTAAGAAAAAGAAATTCAAAGCCCATTGTTTTTATTATAGCATGTCAGAAGTGATTCACACGCGCGTTAATTTGTTCACATCGTCGTGGGAGAATAAGCGACGAGTTGAAGCGCAACAATTATTCACTTCGATTAGCTCGATTCGATTTGTCGGTGATCGATCACGGAACTGTTTTTTCCTCAAGCCAATTAATTAATTTCTATTGTAACGCACGTAACCGCATTCATTAATAGAAAAATACATTCCGTAAATCCTGATTTAAATTTAATTACTTTTGTATTAGTTTTACCACATGACACTATTGCAACTTCTTGTTGATTTCATTAAACAAATTAAATTCTTTGTTTCTTAATGATATTTTTATTCTATCAAACGAATTAAAATTTATGCTCAGAGTATACTTTCAATTTATATATTTTTTTGTAATATAAGTATGTTATTCTATGGGATAATAAAGATGTGTAGATATACATATAGTTTCTGTATAATGCTATGTGTTTCTCTTATATATATTCCTTCTCCTCTTGTCTTGCTCCTGTAATTCTAAAATTATTTCATTAATTGTCAACCTAATAACAATTCTTATTAAAAGTTCATATTATATTTCTGGAAAATTTGAAAAGTTAGATATGTTCTTGAAGAATATATTCAAATCTTTCTGTTAGACTTTCTTATAAGAAAATTTATTATACAACATTTTCTATGCTTTTTACTATAGATTTTTAAAACTATTAGGTAGTTTTATGATGGAAGGAGGTGGGGTACTTACTGCAGAACGTAGTTCAGCACGTGCAAATTTGCATGTCGCATTTACTGAGAAAGGAGAAGTAAAAGAACGTAGAGAAAAATTCCTGACTGCCAAATATGGATCTCATCAGATGTCCCTCATTCGCAAAAGGCTTGCAGTGGAAATGTGGTTGTTCGATGAGCTAGAAAAATTATATGAATCAGTTGTAAGTTAAAAATTTAATTTTCTATAATTACAAATTGTTTATTCACTATAGTAAATTTGATCTAATTTATAAGTATGTATATGAACAATGTACAATACGTTAATAATTGGGCACACAATCCCATGTCTATGAATTCATGTAATTCAAGGACTCAATGTATTAGATAAGATAAACTTTCCTATAATTTGTTACATTTCATTTACAGAATGATAGTGGTAAAAATCAAGAAGTTGAAATTGATATAGATGAACTTCTTGATATGGACAGTGATGATCATAGACGAAGATTTTTGCAAGTAAGTAAATAATATTTAGAATTGCTAGTAATAAAAATTTTAACCAAAAATAACATAAATTGGTTAATATACTTATAATTATATAATTTTATTTCTAGGAATTACTGGTTGATACGAAAAAGCCACCACACGATGTAAATGTAAGTAAAAATATGTGTTTTACTAGATTCATAACATTTTTTAAACAAATGATTGTTAATCAGTCTAATGTAATAGTAGCATTTTCCTCTTCCAAATTTAATACCATGTGACTAATTTATTGATTCGAAATATTTTATTTAGAGCAAATGAAAGTAGCTTGAATGTGATTTATCTTTTGTAATTTTTTAGAAGTAACTTTTATGTACAAACAAATAACTGTTACTAACACAAGTTGTTTATATGTTTCAGAAATTCATTAATGATTTACTCGAAAAAGCTAAAACACTTTGAAGAACTTCTATGTTCTTCTTAACACTTATGTGTTTGCAAGGACTTTTTTGAAGCATTAATAAATTTGCTCAGATTTGGAACGAGTCAGACATATTCAAGCCTTAACGAGTTGCACACACACAACTCAAATGCCAATTTATCATTACTTGGATAGAACTTAATGGGGAAAACATTAAATGACTCTGCACATTTTTATTCTAGCGTGTATTATTTCATATTGAAATCGTAAACATTAGTATCTGACTTATCTCAGTACAATGGCTAACTTTGTTAGTTATTTGTGTGCGCATCGCATATCAAGTAATAAACCTCACAGTACACAAACTGTCTTGCTGTACGATCCATCCAATGTGATGTATAGTAGAAAAGTTTGTTCTTCTACACTCTAGTTTTGTATGCCTTCTAACTCCATCATTCGTAGTAATATTTATGTTGTTAAGGATTAACTAACAATACTTCCAAACATTGTAACTATACCAAATGATTTCTATACATATCCTATGTTTATTGAATTATTCCAACTAAGAATACAATTGGGTTATAACAGTTAACGCGTCTATGTTGTAGTAGTATAATAAATTAATGCAATTTTATTTATTTTAGAAACTACTTTAAGGGAGTAATATGCAAAATTTTGCATCGAATGCTTATACGAACTAAAGAAGAAATCTGTTTAATAATACTACAAAAGCGTGTATGTTTCAGATGATTTTGTCACTGGCATAGTAATAATTAAAACGTGGAAATGACACCTATTGTTGCTCCAGTACCGAATCAGTATTGAAAATTATCACAAAGGAATTCAAATTTTTGTTAAATCGTTAAAAAAAAAATATGAAATACAAACATTCCTAAATTTAGAATGATGTTTCGAAATCGTTAGAAATTTTAGCTTTTATGGTGTATTGAAATTTTTTAATTATTTTGTTACTTATATAATTATGTTATTAATTTCAAGATTTTAAATTTGTTATAGTTAACGTGTTATACTCTTTTAAATTATACGTTTATAATTTTTCATTACTTGATCAATTTGCATACTTGTCTCGAAAAAGAAATTGCAGGTTCTCTGTTCCGACATACTGGTTTGGGTAAAATGTAAAAAACAATAGTATATCGTTATTCGTGCAATGTATAGTATACATCAGCGTTTGTATCGTGAATAATTATTGTCGTAATAGAGTGCAATTATAGGTGACATTTATACGGTTTATTGACTGTCATTCAATATATGAGCTATTACGTGAAATGTATTTATAGTCATGTAAAAGAGGAAGGAAGCAAATTTAATATAAACTTCCGAAAACACAGATCTCTTGCACCAACGTATCTCGCATTATTACTTAACGTTATAGTAAAAGACTGCACAAATGGAATTCACCTTCCTCTTAAAAACTAGATGCGTACAGAAATTACACGACAAACTAAATAATACGATGGATATATTATTAATGATCGAATATACAGGGTGGGGCAATAACTATGCTCATCTTGAATATCTCCGTTATTTGTAATAATATTAAAAAATTTTATATACAAAACTTGCATGGTACAGAGGGGGACACATTGTGATATAAACATTTTTCGTGTGAGTGGAGGCATAGAGAAGATTTCAAGGTCACCTTCATTTTTTAAAAATAGGGTCACCCTTTCTGAAACGATTACGACGATAGTCCCTTTCATTAGGAATTCAGTGACTATAATTATTCAAGGTCATTCAAGGTTACGGTCGGAGAAACTGTATAAAATTTAAAATATGAAAACAGAATACCTGTGTTTCATAAATGTTCGAAATGATGGCCATTTACGTCGATACATTGCTGTAAACGGGCTCTGAAGGAATGTTGAACTCTGACAAGTATATCCGAGGTGATATTCGCACATGCTGTGACGATCCGCTGATGCATTGCATCTTCAACTGTTGTTGGAGCATTCGCGTATGCGGTCTCTTTTAGCAGATCCCAAAAAAAGAAATCCAGTGGATTTACGTCAGGCGAACATGCTGGCCATGAAACAGTACCACCTCGTCCAATCCATGGTTTGGAAACCTAGAGTTCAATGTTTTTCTTGCTACTCGTGCATAATGAGCCGAACAGCCATCGTGTTGATACCACATATCATAACGGTTTTGTAGAGTGACATCTTTCAACAAAATTGAGAATATGTTCATCGTTCCGGTAATGAAGTATGATGCGATTACTTTATCGTACAAAATACCACACCATACGTTTACGTTCCATTGTCTTTGATGATCAACTCTTCGAAGCCAGTGCGGATTATCAACAGACCAATAATGGACGTTCCATAGATTAATTGAGCCATGATTACTAAATGTTGCTTCGTCCGTAAACAAGAAATTAGAAAAAAAAGGAACGATTTTGATGTAATCCCCATTGACAAAAATTAATTCGACATTGAAGGACCTTAATATGTTTACTACAAGTCTCACTTGCGATAAATGTATTCTGCTTTCATATTTTACATCTTATACATTTTCTCCGACCGTGACCTTGAATGACCTTAAATAATTACAGCCACTGAATTCCTAATGAAAAGAGACTATCATTGTAGGTGTTTCAAAAAGGGTGATCCCATTTAAAAAAAAAATAAGGTGACCTTGAAATCTCCTCTATGCCTCCACCCACACGAAAAATGTTTATATCACAATGTGTCCCCCTCTGTACCATGCAAGTTTTGTATATAAAATTTTTTAATATTATTACAAATAACGGAGATATTCAAAGTGGACATGGTTATTGCCCCACCCTGTATAGTATCAAATGTTAAATGAAGTAAGAAATTAGCAAACACACTATGTAAAAAGAACTTTTTGTGTTTACGTTGGATAGAATGTAAAGCAATACCCATAATGTGATTATTCCACAACATGTCTTCACAAAAGAAATGAAAGAAATTGATAGAGGTTCTGTGTTACCTCGTATCTTGAAGAAATATATGATCTCTGTAATGTTATTAATCCCCAGTTAACACATTGATTGCCACGTTATTCACGTATGGACGATACATGTTTTTTATAGGCAATAGAAAAGTATAAGGAACATTATATTATATGCTATGTGGCTTACAGAACATTCAGAGTAAAAGAAAAGTTTAATCCAACATTTGGTTTCATTCAAGTGATTATTGAATCGTAATAAATTTTGGATTATACTATTTCGAATTTCTCAAGAAAAAGATTTTTTATTCTGTGTGTTGATTTGGCAGTCAATGCGTTAAAAAGATGGAAGAGGAACAGAAACAGTTTTATCCAAGCAAAGACTAGTGAAATGTATGAATCATGATTATTTACGAGATATTAGGACGTACAGAGATTCACTTGCCATTCATTAATCGTGTGTTTTTGTTTGGCAAAATGTGATCTTTGTAGACTTGTCACGAGCATAGGAAAATGTGTTTAAGACTACTTGGTCTACCCTTAAACTTCCATAAGATTTAGATGAATAACATCTTATTAAAAGCGTTGAACTCGTCTTGTCATCCATACGTACATTTAAAACTTTATACGATGAAATATATGTGAATGTGTAATTAAGATTAGGAATAAACATATACAATAAACCTTGATCTCGTGCGTGTAATCGATGGCGTATTCGTTCTATTCGAACAGGTAAATAATAGTTTGCAAGTGACCGTTGAACGAATATGCCAAAATTTAATCAGAGTTTATTGTATTAGAAAGAATACAATCAATTTGTGCACTTGTGATTTAGTGTTGTAAAGAGTATGCGATTTTCGATCGAATTATGTTCACCAAATCGAAATTACGAAGTTTTTAAATTTTATAATCGGAATAAGAATAGCTATCAAAATAATTGTTCTTTCGCTTTGCATAATGCAATAAATATTAGGTTGGTTTATATGAAATGTTACTTTTCCTTTCGATCAAATTTTAAGGTTGATGTGTATCGAATAACCTTCAGTTTATATCATCATTCGATTATTTATATTGTGACAGAAAATATAAAATAATAAATCAAGAACCTTTTTTTGGGAATTAATGTACATTTTACAAATTCCCCTACAAACTTTAACGCCTTAGAATGTATCTTTAGATATATATCGTAAAATGAGAAATTCGTGCTCCGAAAAAAGTTACATTTCATACGCATCATCCGATTAAAAAAGCGAGCTTTAAGTGTAATGCTCATTGGCATGCGAAAAGTGCTTCAAGATTATTTTCTTGGTGAATCATTTAGAAGAAATGGGAAATTAACGTCTTATAAAGGAAGAAAAGTGAAAATGTATCCCAATTGTACTGGAATTTCCTATCCCGTGTGAATGCTTGGAATGTTAATGTGTAATATTAAATCAAATTAATCCATAATAATTTTAAGTAAGGGAGAAAAGCACTTTTACACTGATTATAAAATGGAATTCTTGCATTCGTGACGCGATTAAAAAAAATGGTGCGAAAATTAGTAGGCAATTTAAGATTGGTGTTCCCTGCGTTTTAAATTGACGATATTGCCAAAGTATTATTTTCCATTAACATGTACTGATTATGTAAGAGATTGTATTTACTTGCACAAACGAAATAAGAATTGGATAACGAAAAAATTAATGATAGTTTTCTTTACCTTGCCCAGGATCATGTTTTACAACAATTTTCGTTCCAGCATAATTGTTATTTAACTATAAATAAAAGGTGTTACTACGAATAAATATATATTTAATTAATGCATAATTTCATTAATTTTTGTAAATTAAACTATTATTAAACTATACATTTGTCAATGTACAATTATAAATAAAAATTTATATTCTAAATTCTTTTGTACTATAGTAAATTCAATTTCCTTCTTTTAAAAATGTAAGCAAATGATAAATATTACTTTCTTATAATGATAATATATATTCACCAATATGGGGCCCAGCTTGAGGTGATTCCAGGAAATTATATCAAAGGTTTATTCATTATATTGTACAGAATTTCGTCGCATTAGTAGTGCGTATAGCGAGTTGTAATACATATTTTCATAGAAAAGTTTACGAAAGAAAATTGGCATGAAGAAATTATTCGCGATAGTTCTGTATTTGTGAAACTATACAGCTTCTTTATATATATATATATATATATATATTCTTGACATTCGTAAAAATATGTCATCCTAATGTCATTTACACTTAATAACCTTATAGAACATCGAATTGAGTGCAAGACATGTTGTTATTAGAACAAGAAAAAAGATTCGTATAAATACTTTACATAGTTATGTTTCAAAATCATTATTGGTATTTCGATAATGCTTATGAATTCCTAATACCAAGTGCCTGTTCCAACTCTGCGCGCTTTTGTTGAACTTTTGTGTAAAAGTATCGGCAAACGGCTTCCTGTGCCCAAGGTTGATAATAAAATTCCGCTCTGCGTTCCTCCTCCGGATTCCCAACAACATCTATCATAGTTTTCAAGTCTCTTGTTTGCGATATAATCCACTTGTTAATGAACTGTTGAGGATCTTTGGCAAAACTTAAGAAAAATTCTCGATTTGTCTTTAACTGATTGATCGTTTCAACTGTTTCGTGAATCTTATTGTCCAAACTTTGAATCTCTTGCTGACTCGCGGTGGAAAGCAAGAAATTGTTCATTTGCGTTTTTAATGTGTCGTCCACTTCAACGTCTATGTCGTAGCACGCGGTTTGTTTTGTTTCCGTGCCTAGTACAAAGCACGGGCAAAATAGTACAAGTTGCTACTTCCTTGAAAATTGTTACATACATCATTCGCCCTTACCTTCTACACTGATAACATGATTAATTACAATTGGATCCGGCGGATGGAGCAGCGGATTTAGACGCTGTGGTATCTCGGCGAATTTCATCCTCGAACAAGCAAATATTTGTTCCAAATATTTATCACAGTTTATGAACTCCCTTTCATGACTGTCTTGAAGCTTATGCGTTTTTATGTATTGCCAGAGTGCAGAAATAATGACGGGTCTTGTTTGTGTATGTACACCTAACAGTCGCGCTAATCTGGGATCTAATTTGAACTGTAAACAACAAAAGATTTTGTTAATTACAGTTCTGTTTGTACTCTTCGGATAATAATAATATGAATTGTTATTTGGCACAGAAAAATTATTAAACAACGTTGTCGATTTGAGCGCGTCGTTTATTTTCATTGTTGAAACTTTTTAGGTTTTCCAGATAAATTGGATGGAGGGCATTAAATTTAAAATGAAGAAATAAGAGAGCAGTACTTGTAAAGGCTGGTAATCAAGGAGCAAAAGAATAGTGCATCGAACATTCTTATCTCCAGGTCTCTTCACTTGAAACCCGTCAGTTTCTTGTGTCGTCAATGTACGGTGCCATTCGACCAAGTGATTATCGGGTCCATACAGATCTTTATCCAATTCTATAACTAAGCTTTTGAAGAATGAAGAAAACTTTCTCTTTACCTAAAAGTTTTAATATTAATTCCGAAATCGTTTTATCTTTTATACGATATTTAGTTTTGCACAATATTTTTTACCTTGTTAGGATCATTTTTGGTATCCTCTAGAAGCCGTCCTTCGACTCTAAGTTCCCAAGATGCAACCGAACCCTCCTCTCCTTCACCAGCCTCTTTTGCTGGATAGAAGGTGTTGGAAATAAATATTCGCAACTTTCTCTTTTGTTTCATAGGACGTTTTAGTGCCTCTTGTATGTCTAACCGTTTCCGCATTATAGTTGCATCCAACTTTCTTTCGAACGCGAGCAAATCCATATATGCCTGTGATTCAGGCACCAAATCACGCACTTTTTGTGGTAATATTTTGTCCGCCAGTTTTTTCTTCTTCTTGGACGTGGAATGTGAAAAATCACTGTTCCAAAAATACCTAAATGAGTTTGTGTAAAAATCACAGATTCAAAAATCAATAAATCAATTTTGAAGCTTATGAAATGCAGTGAAGTTCCTGGTAAATCAGTTAATGGTTAACAGTGTCATTTTGCTAATATTACAGATGATACAAGAAGTAAAACGATCGACGTGTATATTTCAGATATTTCAAAAAACTTCTCAATTTTTATTTCATATTTTGAATCTCTTCGTCTTAAATAAAAATGCATATGTAAATATGTATATATACACATTTTTTCAAATACAAAATTGCAAGTATTAGTTATGTTTCTTTTTTCTTTTCCAAAAAATAAAAATAAAATTATGAATTAGTACATTTGCCAAATTAACACAGCGAGTCAGGTTGATGAGCATAACGATAAAAATATAAATATGAAATTAAAAGGAATGCATGCAACATAGGTGCACTTACGGTTTTTGCTGTGACATGGGAATACGTTGATCTGCACTTCTCTTTCCAACTGGTGGAGTAGGCATTGGACCTTGACGCATGTTAGAGTAAGGCTGATTTGTTCTTATTATGCTAGCTGGACCAGGACCTGCATTGGTCATTTGTGGAGGTGGAGTAAATCCAGATCTTTGTTGCATCTATAATACATACATAGTCATCAGTTTGATCTTCTATTACAATTTAGTTATCAATTATGTTGGTCAAAGTATAAATTGTACTCACAGGAAAATTTGGGCCTGAATATTGTCGTAAATTTGGAGGTACAGACGATGCTGCGTATCTTTGTTGCGGCAGACCATTATTCCCTGTATTTGGTACAGGAAATCTTTGCGCCATGTCTCTTTGGTGATTGCCCTAATAATAGAAATGAATAAAGATTTTTGTCTGGATCGATATTAATGTTTTATTTAAATATATCGAATACATGGCAATCACTTTGAATCGCGTCGTTCGCTTTATTTTGCGGTACAAAATTGTATGAAATAACCACAGAACTGTAGAATAGTTTATCGAACAAATAAATTCATTTATATTTCACCATTACACGTACAAACGTTTAGGCTTAATATAGAAACAAATAATAGTAATATTTCTCTAAAAGTAATTGCCAAGGAAAAACAAAAACATAACCTTCGAGGTCGTATATAATTATAACCTTGAAAAGGTTAAAATCGATCATACTGTTTTATTAATACTTAAACAATATCGCGAATAACATAATTCACAGAGGCGACGAACAGGAAAACACGAAAAGAAAACAGAAATTAAAGTATTGTGAGAAATTTCGTTGGTCGTCCGTCAGATTCGTATATTTTCCACCACAACTTAGTATTTGAGGCTGTAATATCTTATGTTCCGATGTAAAGCGTAAAGAAAACGAGAAAAGAGGAAAGTCAGTTCGGTAAAGAATGAAAAATAACCTACGCTTTCAAAGCTTCTATCCACTTTCTGGCAAGGTTAGTAAGCTCTCGCGAAGCGGCAGAACATAGACTAATTCTCTTATAGAAGGCAGACGGTGCGATTATTGCCATCTAATGGCGATAAGGTCGAAACATTTGTCGTATAGTTTCACCACTTTGTTAGTAGATGACGTACTATTTGGCGCCCTTGTCGTGCAACTTTAAAATTAATACAAAAATTAATTAACCCGTTTAATTGTGATATTACTGTGTAAATTTAGATTATTTGTTAAACGCACGTTAATGCAGTTAATTTTAGCCTTGAGGAACTGTTACCTATATTTGAATAACATTCATTCTGCGTTTTGTAAGCTTGCGATCTATATATTTTTTTTAACAAATACAAAATTAATATAATCGGCCGCATAAATGTTATTGTAACCGATTGATTGAAAAAGAGCTACAATGATGAATTCAGAAGACGTGATGTTAAAAAAATAAATCTAAACGAGATTAACGAATCTTAATGGGGTTGCAAAAGTAAGTATGTACTATGTTCAATGATACAATTTCGAGGGCGTGAAATCACATTTGGAACGGTCAGGAATGTTTAGGAACTCTAGGAAAAGTGTGCTGTCCGTCGATGAAGAGTGGGAGATTATTGCAAATGGAAATACGCAGGACGCCGCGGATTATATTTAAACCTGACTCAGTAGCTAGCTATTCCGCCAATGAATAATCTTCCGTATCATTGGATTTTAAGAGTCCGTTGGATCGTGTAATCGGGGGTTATTATGCCCTGTTTGAATCAGAAACGGTCCTAAATAGGGGCGTCCCCTTCCGTTTCGTCGTCGATCTTCTTTCCTCGAGCCTTGGCCTTATCTTCTTGGTCCTCCATCCCATCGAGTCCGTCGTGAATCCAAAACGTGGATCGTGGTAATAATAACTTGGCCTATATAGTGGGGCTGGTTATTTAAAGAAAAAATTTACGTTCGCGCAATCGAATTTCCTTTGACTTTTATTTTTCGATTATTTCGGCCGGCGACGAGAAGGTTAATTAATGGCGGGCCGTTTCGTCAAAAGCAACATGGCGACCTCGTTGGGCGAAGTTGTAAATCATCGTTTCCCAAGCCGCGTCGAAAAATTGTAATTCATACTTGAAAGGGTCTGCTGCTATTCTTATCGAGAATATGATCTTTAAGTCGGTATAAACAGGAATTACGAATATTATTCTTGATTTTCTCGCGGCGGATCACCAAATAATAAAGGGAAAAAGAAATATTTGATTGCCGAGTATAAAGTGTGGTTTTATGTTTCCATACACAACGGCGTATTATTACGATTAACAGGAATTCGAAGACCGTGTTTCTAAACAGGAGGAGGGGTCAGTGCCAGCGAGGCGGAAGTTGACGATATCACTCTATTTCAGTCAACAGTCTTTTTTAAACCTCTTCGTTACCTTTCACTCGAAGATAACTCGGTAATAAAAAATGGTACATCAACTTTTATGGGGTCGTTGCAAAGGGGAGGCTACCCCCTTTAAATTCACTGTAAAAAGATTAATCAAACCCCGTGGAGCCGTTCGCAGACAGCTTCAGTCAAGGAACCGTCCCTTCTCTTTCCTGTCCTGCAATCAAACGTAAACCCGTATCGAAAACGCTAAGGGTATACGTTTTTTTAAAACGAGCAAACGTACGTCTCCGTACGATCTTTATCGCCGAGTCACGACAGTTCGAAGATCTTTCGGCCCAAAATTAGCGATTCCTCGACTTTGGTGCATATTCATGAGCAACGTCGTACGTTTGGCAGCCGCGATTTTGGAAATCCTACGTGTTGCCACCCTGTCCAAGTGAATAAGTCGCTAATATTAGATCCCCGAGAACCGTGGAAACGCACACACACGCGCGCGTTCGCTGCTCGAGCTGTCTTTTTTTGACGTACGCCACCGTGACGGTGGTGAAACGCAGCAACTCCAACCGTGTTGGACAGTTTCCTTCGCGGCGTGGGCCGTATTCCCGCCATTCCGCATCTGGTATAAGAGGGACCACGGATCGGCCCGAGCACTTCAGTCCACTCAAAGATACACCACACGGTACAAGGATGGCTCTCGAACGTCAAGTGCGCGCCAAGGTACGACCCTGATCGTCAGGATTTGTGCTACGACTTTCGTCCTCGCGGATCGCGACAGTTCTTCCGAGTGTGCGATCATAGAAAACGGACTCTTTCCTTCTTGACGTCCGCGGTGACTCGTTGTGACCGGTCCTTTTTGATATCGATCACTAGACGGGTTCTGCTTTCGAGATTCCAGATCGGAATTAACGCTAGTACTCGCGTGGCTTTTGGATGGATGGATGGATACAATTTAATATCAGAGCCTCTGATCGTATAATAATCACATTACGTTACAGTTTGCACCTTCAGAGCCTCCAATTATCGCGAAATTATTAACTTCCTGTTTACAACGTTCGATTTGAATCCTTGTTAGCGAGAAATTCGTATAGCTTTCCAACGATTCTGTTCCGCAACGTTCAATGGGGGATTTTTCTTGTTGCAGATGGCGGCGAAACGCAACCCCGAGATGGAGAAAGAAGCCCAGGAATGGATCGAATCCATTCTTGGCAAGAAGTTCCCGCCCGGTGAGCTGTTTGAGGACGTGCTCAAGGATGGACAGGTGCTGTGCCACCTGATGAACAAGATCTCACCCGGATCGGTCGCTAAGATCAACAGCTCCGGTGGTCAATTCAAAATGATGGAGAACATCAACTCGTAAGTCGATTTACGGTTTATTTTTGCGCGAATTCTCGTTCTGTTCTCGAACGAGCGATTATTCCATTGCGTCGTTTTGCCTTAGGTTCCAGAAAGCTCTGAAGGAGTACGGAGTGGACGATGTAGACGTGTTCCAAACGGTGGACTTGTGGGAAAAGAAGGACATAGCACAGGTGGTGACCACTCTGTTCGCTCTTGGTCGTACGGTACGTTTAGTTATTATACGTCTCTGCATTGTAAATCTCTATTCCTTCCTCTGTACATAGTTTGTTTTCACTGGTAGAGCCCTCCATTTCATAAGTTTCTCTGTTAGTGGATCACTGTCTTCCGCCCTTCTATTTCTCAAAGTTTCCCTAACGATTCTTTCCCCCTTTAGTAGATCACCAAGATTCTCGATTCGAGTGTCTCTAAGTTTTCTTCGTTTTCGCAGACGTACAAGCACCCGGAGTGGAAGGGACCGTACCTGGGACCTAAACCATCAGAGGAATGCAAGCGCGAGTTCACGGAAGAGCAACTGCGCGCTGGAGAGTCCGTGATTGGTCTCCAAGCCGGTTCCAACAAAGGCGCCACCCAATCAGGCCAGAGCATCGGCGCCACCCGCAAGATCCTCCTGGGAAAGTAAATCCGACTCTCCTAACTTCTCTCCGTTTAGACCCCAAAATCTGTACTTTGTATGTAAATGTATATATTATGTATTTATTTTGTATTTTGTAATTGAACGATAATAAATATTTATTATTTACAACAAACGGGCTTGCTAGACCTCGACGTTTCACCCCCGAAACGACCTAACCGTTGCCCATGTAGGCGACAGCGCAAGAGAATCCACAGTTCGCAAAGTTTCTAGAACTCTCGGCGTGGGTGGTCGAAAATATGATCGCACCAACCTGGCCAGACAACTGTAACTGTAGTTTTACAAATTCTGGCAGTGTTAATCGAAACATCATCGTCGAAATGTCTATCTTCTATTTTACGACAAATTCGAGACTCAAATTGTCTTAATTCTGGATTGTTTTGCTCCATTTTCCATTCAAAAAGTTTGGTTTCTTTCATTCGTCCTCAACCTTATTTCCACCGCAGTTTTATGTACATCTATTTCGACCTAGAAGCAACTTATGACACCTTTGCGTTTGAATAAAACGCAATAAGCGATTAAAGAAGATAATTTCGAATCAACATTTTACAAGGTGTCTTCCGATGTTTATGCTTAAATAAAATACATCGTGTCGCGTTTTAAATATATTGCCCCCTTCGTGCCAGAACAATGAAGTGCAATTTGAAGTTCTGGTATTGTTAAACCGAACGACTCGCATTTATCAATCGAGCTTAGAACGATCAATGTCGTTTAACGCACAGATATTCGAATTATTGAAAATTCGTGGTCGGAAAAAAGGAAATTGGACAAACGGTAGCCGCCCTGTTCGTTGTTCGAGAAACTCGATCATTCGTTATAAAATTCACGGTGTGTTCGATGGATAAATAACAGGTGGAAGAATGCCGAATCGCAGTGAGACGTAACAGCAAGTGACGAGGCGAGTGTTGTACGGGCGCACGAAAATAGTGATATTGTAATTAGCATTGTGTATCGTCGGTGTACACATCTGCCGCGGGATTCAATTTGGCACGGCCTTCGTCGTAACGGATCGGTCTGAATTTATTTTTGTTCGTTCCAGACCGCCGAGACCCGAATCTACGCGCCGGTCGTACAATTTTGGACAACGGTCGGAAGAACGTTCTACGTCCAGATCGATGCAGCGTTCGTCAATACGATTTCAAGGATTCATTGGGCTGGAACTGCGTGGAATATTTGTACACATATCCTGGAGCGCAGAAATTTGGTTGGAAATCACTATTCTGGATGATCAAGAAAAAGATCTCAACAGTTCAATTAACTGTTGATAAATACAGTATATTCGAAGAAAGGATGTAAACTTTGTTTTCAGGTCGTCGATTCTTTTCGCAGAAAAGTGACAAAGCTCCAAGGCAGCGTTAAAATAGTACACCGTTTGGTGTTACGAAGTGCTCAATATCAAATTTGTTTCAGTGTAATTGCAGTATAAGATCCAATTGTTTGATCGGTCGGCACCTGTTTCTAATTTTTTTTGCAGAACGGACCTCGTCACTTTTTTGAGGTTCAGGACCACAGAAATGACAATCGATCACTGTCGCTTTTATTTATTTTTGTCGTACATGCTGGTTGACATAACTCGGACTGTCGTAAGTTGAGAACCGTCTGCACTTAATAGTTGACACTTTGTCAAGAAAATTTTGAGGAGGATTCTAAAACAAAAGCAGTTACTGATACTCGATGCCATCTGTCAGGAATTAATCTCTCTATGGGGCTTGCTAATTTAAAAACGTCCTTATAAATTTGATTTATACAAAAATATTCTGTTATCGATGCATGGACTTAATCTATACATTCGTGTATAATCGCTTATAATTTTACAAATTTTAAATGTTTCGGGTTATCGAACATTGTTGTAATTCTAATAAAATGTCAATTGTTTTCGAAAATATAGTATTATCCGAGGTTCGATGTCATAATAGGAGTCACAGAAGATTTTAAATCTAATTCAGGTTCATTGCGAGCAGATGTACATATACTGAGCGAAACTAAAATTTAAACACGAAGAAATATTGCGCTAAACCATGAAAACAAATTGATGTTCAAGCAGTCTGACAAACTGCGGGATAAGAATAGGAATTATTCATATCCACAATGTTTCAAAACGCAATTGCAAAAGTTTGTGGGAAGAATCTCGGAAAAATAAGATTTGAAGGAAACTAGGTTAGATTGTTTAATTTTTAATGCGGCTTAAATATTTTTCGCTCTATAAATCTTTCATAAACGTCAAAATGTCTTGTCGTTGATTAACGGCAATATTTTATCAAATATGTTTACTAAGATTGTCAAATCATTGAATATAAATGTTCCTTGAGCAGGAACTTATTCGTAAAGATATTCTTCGCAGAAACTAAAGATTTGGCAAAAGTTTACTATAAAAATTAATCAATAATATTTACTATAATTTCATAGATATTACAGCACAAGATAAAAGTAAAAAAATTAACAGTTGTGATAAATCTCACAGCTGTTAATAATTAATTGTTAAACAGTAAAATGGGCAGCGTTCGCGTTAAAATCGAAATACCTTCCATTTTATTTTCGCGTTTGTTTACCCATTTGCATATTATTATTGTATGCAATTCGGGTATCTTTCCAAAAGCAAACAGCTTTATCAGAGCTGTCATTATTCACTTAAAAATGATGAAAGATATTTTACATAATGATTATAAATAAAATTTGTTAATAGTTTAGCATTTGGTTAAACTTAACTTCGAGTTTATTGAAATTATAAATTAAAAATGAAATATGAAACTAAAATTACGTATCGTTATATTTAATTTACTACATTCTTAGTACCAAGAATAAATAAACGTTAAGAAATATTTGTATAATCACAGACGAGGTATACGAATAAACTTTATACCTCATGGGCTTTCGTGGCCAAATCTCACTAACATACCGACCTGAAAATTCAGAGGTGATTTTAGTGTCCCCTTCTCATGGATGGTGGTCAGTCGAGAAACTTTTCATTGAACTGTTCCTACAATAGTGAATGTATTTTATTGAAATTTATTTATGTAGTAGAGCTTATGGATACCTGCAAAAAAGTACTAAACAACATTTCTGTAGAGCGTCAAACAAATTTATAAAAATGAAAAACGAAATTCTAAGAAAAATCGACAGGGGGTTAGATACAGAAATTTTTCGGGGAAAAAAAATTTTCAAATCTTTCTAAACAAATTATTTTCAGTTACGTGGGACAATTACAATCATTTTTTGTGAATAGATATATCCCCGAAATCTTACGCAATTTCGAGAAAAAAATTCCTTACCGAAAATCTAATGTGAGGCTAGATTGCCCGAGGTTTTAAAGAGGTTTTAAAGAGGCTTTAGGTTGCCCGAAATTTCATGCGTATCTTTAAAACATCATAACTCCTGAACGGATTGGAGGGTTTTAATTTTTTAAAAGGCAAACAACGTGTATTTAGGTAAAGAATATGTAAAAATTCCAAGACTATTCGAAAAGTTGTTCCTTAATCCCGTAAAGTGAGAAAACCCCCATAATAATGATCCAATTTTCAAGCAGCCGTAACTCCTACAATAGTGAATATATTTCAGTGAAACTTTTTTCTGCAGTAGAGCCCACGGGTACCTACAAAAAAGTATTAGACAACTGTTCCGTACAGCGACAACCATTAAAAATAAAAAACGAATTTTTAAGAAAAATCGACAAGAGTAGGTGCAGAAATTTTTCGGCGAAAATAATCATTGGTTCGTGTGATACGAAATCTTGAGAAATATTAAAATAATTTTTTACAAGAATACCAATCGCTGTATGTGAACTCTATACAGAGTACTTACTCGACGATGGTGTGAATTAAACAATTATAAATAAAACTTAGCATTGTTTAACATTCCAACGCAATAGTTTATACTACAATTCTTAATAATATGTAGTATATGAATAATGAAAGGGTCCATTAGAATGCGTAAATAATAATTTTTTACGAAATAATTTGTCCACCGGACGGGTTGAGATGGCTGACACACGCTGTACTCTCCCTACTCCCCTGTCACTACATTAAGGGGGTCTTCTACTGTGTCGGGTCAAAAAAATTCATTTTTTTTTTTTACTTTTTTAGATTTATTAATCGGATGCTTGGGAGCTGAGACCCAAAATAATAACGAGTAATTGAATTCCCTAATTTGGACATTCGCCCCAAAACATATTCATTCTGGGCCTAAGGTGGTTGAAATAGCTACTTTTTTGGCAGTCATCATTTTTAACGATGGATTTCAAGGAGTATTAAAAATTATGAAAACAATGGGATTGAAAATTGGCACCAATTCTTGCACATATTCGACGCACCGTGACAACGCTCGCCTATACCGCTCCGAACGAAAATCGTCTGACTTCGTCAAAAAATCTCGGATTCAAAATCGAGAAGAAAATTCACTTCTGCATGACTTCCAGGAAGAAACTAAAGGTGTACTGTATGGTCCAGGCATTGCAGATTAATGGTAAGTAAAATTATCTTTGTGTCATACGTACTTGAACTTCAAACGCGTTTTTCTCGAAACGCATTTTCTTGAAGCAGCGCCCACGATATTTCAAAAAGTCTTCAACCGATTTCGCTATAATTTCGTACACATCTTTCATACACCTCTAGTTTTCGTGTGAACTAGGATAATTGAAATATTTTACTAATTTCTTGTTCTGTAGCTTAAAAGGTTGAAAAAAAAATACGAAGAATTGACTTTTTTCTTAAAAGCTTTGTCAAATGTTCAAATTTGAATATTTTTATTTAATTCTAGTTCACACGATAGCCATAGATCTACATATTAAAATGCTATTTGATTTTTCAATTTCAGATGAATAAACAATCGTCAATCATGGGCGCTATCCGTCAACATTTTTTATACATGGTCATCATTCCAGTGCTATAAAGCTAATTATTGTTATTATTATGCTTTACAAAAATTTGTAAACAAAGTTCAATAATTAATACACTCGATATAAAAGTTATAACTGTGTGTGTTTCTATTATTCCTAAAAAAAAATTCCGAAAGAAAGCTGAAAAAAACAGCCTTCACAGTAGAAGACCCCCTTAAGGGGGTAGGCACGGCACGTGACCTCGCCGATTCGGCAGGTCGGTATTACAGCCACAGACGAG